TGCCCCCATCACTCTGGAACAGGGTCAATCTGGATCCCTGATGCCCCCATCACTCTGGAACAGGGTCAATCTGGATCCATGATGCCCCCATCACTCTGGAACAGGGTCAATCTGGATCCATGATGCCCCCATCACTCTGGAACAGGGTCAATCTGGATCCATGATGCCCCCATCACTCTGCAACAGGGTCAATCTGGATCCCTGATGCCCCCATCACTCTGGAACAGGGTCAATCTGGATCCATTGATGTGCAAAGTGCCTTGTGTTACGGTTTTGTATTTATGTTTTCATTTTCCACCTTTTGTTTTGAAATGTTTTCCTCCTTGTGTCTTCTCTGTTCCTTCTTCCTGTGTTTGCCTTCCTGTCATTAGTTCCCCTGGTGTGTCTGATTGTCTGATTGTGTTCACCTGTTGCCCTTGTGTTTCTGCCTCTCTTACCCCAGCTGTGTCTTGTCTTGTGATTACCCCTCCCTGTATTTAGTCTTGTCTCTTCCTGTGTTCCCCTGTCGGTTCATTGTTGGTTTTTCCTGTCTTCCTCCATGTCAGTCACGGTTGTCTCTCCTGTCTCCCTCCATGTGGGTCACGGTCAGTTTTTTGTACAACCCATTTGTTTCATGCCTTGTTTTGATCAGCTTTTAAAATAAAGCTCGCTTTTTGTTACGAGACCTGTTAGCTTTTTGATAGTCTGCATTTGGGTCCTACCCTTCCACGCCATCCTAACAGAATGAACCGACCAGCTTTGGACTCAGCAGACTCGGATCGTTTTGCTCTACAGGCAGAATGTCTTGGGTACTCTCTGGAGTACATTTTTTATACCTGGAATGGCGCCTCTTCTAGACGTGGTAGAGAGGCTGCGTTGAAGGAGGCACGTCAGGAGGTTGCTCGCCAGCCCTGGCTTAGGAGCATGTTGCCTGAGTGGCTACAACTTTTCACAAGTAGTCCTGAGGACTTGTCCGAAGCCTCTAACCCTTTCCTGGGGTATGACCAGGCCTGGGGAGGCCCACAGATCCTCCAAAGAATCTCTAGGAGACGCAAGACCAAGATTCCAGCCCGTGCTCCAGTGGTTCCAGCTCCATTCTCTGGCCCTTTTTTGGGATCCCGCCTGGCGTTTGGAGGTCCACGGAGCCTCCAGGGGGCCTCGGAGAAACGCAAGGTCGGGAGGCCGGCTCGTGGTCCAGTACCGGCCCACACAGCCATGGATCCGTGCACCAGTACCGGCCCACACAGCCATGCTTCCGTGCTCCATTACCTGGCTCACACAGCCAGGGTCCAGGCTTCTGTTCCATGCCCAGCAGCCATAGTCACTGCTCCAGAACCGGACCTTACAGTCATGTTTCCGTGTTCCAGTGCCGGTCCACACAGTCATGGTACCGTGCTCCAGTACCATCCCACACAGCCATGGTTCCGTGTTCCGGTTCCGTGCCCAGCAGCCATGGTGCCTGCTCTAGTACCGGCCCACACAGCCATGGTTCCGGCTCCAGAACCGGCCCATACAGCCATGGTTCCAGTCCCAGTTCTGGCCCCAGCAGCCATGGTTCCGGCCCCAGTTCTGGCCCCAGCGGCCATGGTTCCGGCCCCAGCAGCCATGGTTCCGCCCCCTGTTCCGGTCCCAGCAGCCATGGTCCCGACTTCAGTTTCGGCTCCAGTACTGGCTCCCCGGCCGACGCCAGCCCCCCGTGTCCTGTCGGTGGTCCGGCCGACTCCAGCACCTCGTGTCCTGTCGGTGGTCCGGCCGACTCCAGCACCCCGTCTCCTGTCGGTGGTCCGGCCGACTCCAGCACCTCGTGTCCTGTCGGTGGTCCGGCCGACTCCAGCACCTCGTGTCCTGTCGGTGGTCCGGCCGACTCCGGCACCTCGTGTCCTGTCGGTGGTCCGGCCGACTCCGGCCCCCCGTGTTTTGTCAGTGGTTCGGCCCACTCCAGCCCCTCGTGTTCTGTCGGTGGTCCGGCCGACTCCAGCACCCCGTGTCCTGTTGGCTCTATGGCCGACGCCTACCCCATGTCCTGTGATGTTGGAGGTCCCCCCGACTACTCTTCTGCCGGGGGTCCTACCAACCCTATGTCCTGTGCTGTTGGAGGTCCCGCCGACTACTCTCCTGCCGGGGGTCTTGCCAACTCCATGTCCTGTCCCATTGGGGGTCCCGCCGACTACTCTTCTGCCGGGGGTCTTGCCAATCCTATGTCCTGTCCCGTTGGGGGTCCCGCCGACTACTCTTCTGCCGGGGGTCCTGCCAACCCTATGTCCTGTGCCGTTGGAGGTCCCGCCGACTACTCTTCTGCCGGGGGTCCTGCCAACCCTATGTCCTGTGCCGTTGGAGGTCCCGCCGACTACTCTTCTGCCGGGGGTCTTGCCAATCCTATGTCCTGTCCCGTTGGGGGTCCCGCCGACTACTCTTCTGCCGGGGGTCCTGCCAACCCTATGTCCTGTGCTGTTGGAGGTCCCACCGACTACTCTCCTGCCAGGAGTCTTGCCAACTCCATGTCCTGTCCCATTGGGGGTCCCGCCGACTACTCTTCTGCCGGGGGTCTTGCCAATCCTATGTCCTGTCCCGTTGGGGGTCCCGCCGACTACTCTTCTGCCGGGGGTCCTGCCAACCCTATGTCCTGTGCCGTTGGAGGTCCCGCCGACTACTCTTCTGCCGGGGGTCCTGCCAACCCTATGTCCTGTGCCGTTGGAGGTCCCGCAGACTACTCTTCTGCCGGGGGTCTTGCCAATCCTATGTCCTGTCCCGTTGGGGGTCCCGCCGACTACTCTTCTGCCGGGGGTCCTGCCAACCCTATGTCCTGTGCTGTTGGAGGTCCCACCGACTACTGTCCTGCCGGGAGTCTTGCCAACTCCATGTCCTGTCCCATTGGGGTCCCAAGAGTAGTCGGCGGGACCTCCAACATCACAGGACATAGGGTTGGCAGGACCCCCGGCAGAAGAGTAGTCGGCGGGACCTCCAACGGTACAGGACATGGGGTAGGCGTCGGCCGTAGAGCCAACAGGACACGGGGGGCTGGCGTCGGCCGGAGAGCCAACAGGAGACGGGGTGCTGGAGTCGGCCGGACCACCGACAGGACACGAGGGGCTGGAGTGGGCCGAACCACTGACAAAACACGGGGGGCTGGCGTCGGCCGTAGAGCCAACAGGACACGAGGTGCTGGAGTCGACCGGACCACCGACAGGACACGAGGGGCTGGAGTGGGCCGAACCACTGACAAAACACGGGGGGCTGGCGTCGGCCGGGGAGCCAGTACTAGAGCCGAAACTGAAGCCGGAACCATGGCTGCTGGGGCCGGAACTGGGGCCGGAACCATGGCTGCTGGGGCCGGAACTGGGGCCGGAACCATGGCTGCTGGGGCCAGAACTGGGGCTGGAACCATGACTGTGTGGGCCGGTACTGGAGCAGGCACCCTGGCTGCTGGGCACGGAACCGGAACACGGAACCATGGCTGTGTGGGATGGTACTGGAGCACGGTACCATGACTGTGTGGGGCGGTACTGGTGCATGGAACCATGACTGTGTGGGCCGGTACTGGAGCAGGCACCCTGGCTGCTGGGCATGGAACCATGGCTGCAGGGGCCAGAACTGGGGCCGGAACCATGGCTGCTGGGGCCTGCACTGAAGCCCAAAGCATGGCTTCTGGGGCTCGGGCTGCTAGCCTGGACTTGCGACTCCTCTTATGAGCCTCTTGGAGGCTCCGTGGACCTCCAAAAGCCAGACGAGTGCCCGAGAACGGCTCCTGGACAGGAGCAGGAAATGGGGACGGAACCATGGCTGCTGGGGCCGGAACTGGGGCCGGAACCATGGCTGCTGGGGCACGGGCCGGAACCCTGGCCCTGCGCCTCCTAGAGATTCCCTGGAGGATCTGTGGGCCTCCCAAGGCCTGGTCATACCCCAGGAAAGGGTTAGAGGCTTCGGACAAGTCCTCAGGACTACTTGTGAAAAGTTGTAGCCACTCAGGCAACATGCTCCTAAGCCAGGGCTGGCGAGCAACCTCCTGACGTGCCTCCTTCAACGCAGCCTCTCTACCACGTCTAGAAGAGGCGCCTTTCCAAGTATAGAAAATGTACTCCAGAGAGTACCCAAGACATTCTGCCTGTCGAGCAAAACGATCTGAGTCTGCTGAGTCCAAAGGTGGTTGGTTCATTCTGTTAGGGTTGAGTAAGCAGGCAGGACCCAAATGCAGATTTCCAAGTATATTCCTTTAATCCAAGGTACGAAGTAGAACACAGAACACTACCCTGTGACACACAGTCAAATACAAACAATGAACCAACAATGACAGACAGAAAAACCAGAACTAAAATACACACAAGACCAATCACACAAACAAGACACAGGTGAGGAGGGAGGAGAAAACACAGGGGCACCAGGTGAACACAATCGGGCAATCAGGCAGGAGGGAACACAGAGACAGGAAGCAACAGGCAAGACGGGATGAACACTTTTCAAAACAAAACAGGAAACCAAAGACAGAAAAAGACAAGACAAAATACAACACAGACAGATCGTGACAGTTTGATGAGTCTTAGGTTTTAATGATAAATATGAAGAGCTTAGAGGATTTCAATATACATCTTGTTCTGTGTGGGCATCCTTTGTAAGACATTAACACAGTAATATCTACAAGAACATGGATGTTAAATCTCTGATTCAGCAGCAGTAACTGTGGTATGACTTGCTTGAAGTGAATATATCTGCTCCTTGTTGTTCGGAGTTTGATTCTTTATGGTGAAACAGATGAATACTCACTGGTCGGTTTAGTAAAGGATGGTTTGGTTTGTTGGATTAGCCGCCCTTCTTTCACACAGTGGATGAAACAGCTGTTGTTTAGTGTGACTTCTGTGAATCAGATCAACTGAAGCGGGGCTCGTTAACATTTCAATCATCCATCACCACCTCGCTAAAGTGGATCAATGACACCCAGCTTTGCAGAACATCAGTGAACAGGATTACATCTCAGTGCCCGTTCTCTGTAAGGGTTTCCTTTTTAGTTTTTCAATAAAAAAATACAATTACATGGAGTTTGTTGATTTATTATTATATTGGAAGAAGCAGTGCAGACTGTAGGGGACCTGGGACGTTTATAGGACAAAGATTTATTGGACCAATTCATGGATTCATGAGCTGAGAAAGATGTTTATGTCAACGTTGGAGCAGGGAGATGCTGCCTTCAGGGACCAACACAGAAATACGACATTCCTGCACCACTCACTGTTAGCACTAAAATATCCAATGCCGCTTCTCGAGTTAAATTTCAAGAAGATTAAATGTTAACAGAAAAGTTCACTTATATTTGTACATTTCTTTTATGCCGTCTACGTGTATGCAATACCAAGAGTAGACTAGCAGATGTCCCCATTCTGACTCAATGCAATCATTCAAGACTCAAGGGTTATATTATCATGTGCACAGCATCTACAGTGTAGTTATGGTAATGAACATCTTAGGTCCCGAGCTCCTCCAACAGTGCAACATATTATATAAAGGACAAAAAATACAGTGATAACACCAAAATAAAAACAGTGCAATGAAACAGAGCACATAGATTTGAATAGAAATAGTGCAGGTGAAAGAACAGTCAGGTTAAAAGACATCCAAAGCATGGACTTGGTTTTCTTTATACTTCGGGAAAAAAGTTTGTTCACTATTGCCACGTAGGTTTAATTCACCATCTAAGATATATATATATATATATATATATATATTATACTTACAGTCACCAACAGGTACAGGTCTTTGCAGTTTGATCACACAAAACAAACAGAACTCCCAATCGCACGCCGAGGTACCAAATGCCCCAAAATCCCAAATCTGACCCAGAAGTCAGTACAAATGGTAAAATAAGAACAAGCCCGGGTAGCTGCTCTCAGGAGGGAGTCCAGGAGAAAGGGGAGAAGGAAAGTAGCCTTCGCTCAGAATCTGTGTTACCTTCAAGGACAAGGGGAAATAGTTACAGGTAACAAAACACAGGACTAGATTTCAACTGTCACACATACTCCACGAGGTTCAGCTCGAGTGGAGCTCTTCGTAAAGATACGGGTCCAGCTCACGGAGAGCATTGATCAGAACCCTGCTGGCTGCAGCTCCTTTATTTCGCACCACGTCCACCACCTCTCGTGCTCCGTCATTTCGGGATTTGTTTCTGGCTGAATCCATTTCAGATTTACTGATCACTTTAGACTGAAAGAGTTTATCCAGAAGGTCGTTCAGCACAGTTTGAGACACTCTTTCTTTGAACTCTATCCGAACTGAGAACAACCACTGGTCTGCTGGGTCCCTGCTCTCTGCTCGGACATTTCTCTGGGACAATGCATGTCTTGGAACTGGAAGACAAACAGGGAAAATACATTTTTTGAATAACCAACAATCACATTAAACAGATCTCTTAAACATTAAAGTAACTCAGCATTCCCAGAGCTGGATTTCTGTTCACTTAAAGTTATAATATGTAACATTTCCTCATTAAAATGTATAAAAACTCCTACACCGATGTTATTCATGTTTTGTTGAGTTGTGTACGTACATTATCCCAAATGGTTCAGAGAGACGTGTAATTTTAATCAAGGTAACAGTACGTTCATCACGGTCTCCTGTAATGGCGCCATATCCACTTAACCATGAGAAGCTGAAGACTACAACTCCCATGATGCCACGCTGTTTCACCACCACACTAGTTTTTACTATGGTTTTAGAATATTACAGGTTGTGTGTTTAATGTCGTAATGATGCGCTGCCATGGAGCCTTGATAGAGAATGCTATGAGATGGATCTTTAGAGTTATCCAGTCTATCACTGGGTCTGAGCTCAGATGGAGTCTTTACCTTCCAGTGGCACGAGACAATTCCAGACTATATTTCCATCTTGGTCCTTGACCTTCAAAACCACTCTCTCTGTGCCCGTCTTCACGAAAACTTGAAATGTTGGATTGTAATCTGGTCCAAAACTTGAGTCAAATTCTTGACGCTGGAAACCAGAAGCAGAAGTTAAAAGTTTATCAGTTTCTTTCCTGATTGTGAATGCAGATACATGTGTGTTAATGATCATTGTGTTTCTTTAGAGGAGTATCAGTGACTCACCTCAGGCTGTATATGGAAGCCCTCAGGTTCACAGTGCACACTGTAACCTTTATACAGTTCCAGCTCACAGTCACGGGGGATTTTGATGTGCACAGCATGTCCTTCTTGTTTAACAACCTTCAGTAACAGGACATTTGTATCACTTTAAAACACATTAAAAACAACATATGTTGACCGAGCTAATATACAGAGAGATAAGAATTACAATCACTTAAGAATAACATTATGAGGACATATTGTGAGTAAATTAAGTAGAGAGTAAGATAAATATTTTTGGATGAAGTTCCACACCAACACTCCGTGACGCAATAAAAAAATGCATTTAATCACACTACCAATTCCTGCTATGTTTACCATTAATTGCATGGCTAAAAAAGCAGGAAAATCGAGCGCTGTATCAGCAGACAGAAAGACATGCTGAGAGAATCCAACAAAAACCACAAAGAGTGATCTGAAGATTTACAGTTCAGATAGATCTGAGGTTTGAGAAGAGGAGCAGTGTGTGTGGAAACAGCTTTAGTTTAGAACCAGTGTTTAGTCTGATGGTGAGCACATGGCTTTACCTCCTTGGGGACGTTTTTCTGCAGCAGAAATACATCCAGTATTTGATCTTCTCTGAACGGGGGTTGAAGGAAAACCAGAACTTGGCCCTTTATCCGAAGAAGCAGAACCCTTTTTATGATATCCCAGACCAGGCCAAAAAGAGAGAGGTGAGGCACCTTCACCACCACGTGAGTGCGTGTGACCTCCAGCGGCTCCAAGATGCTCAGGCCTTCATCAGTGATGTGGACGACAGACAACAGGCCGTCCAGGAGCAGCGCTGTGGAGCAAAGAGCTGGTCATCTGTTGCTTTGCTGCTGAAACAGCTTCATCATATTCAATGTCACACCACTTTAGTTCAGAGCTAATGTTCATCTAATGTCATTCACTTTGGAGCCTCACGAGGATGCTCCAGTTTATATCCTCCACCTTTTATTCTAATGTTTCATTATTGTTCTGTCCCGTGATCTTTCTGGAGGTGAGCATTTACTGTTATGCATAAACTTTATTCATTATTTTTGTATTAATAAGAATGCTGAAATGTTTGCCAGAACAGCTTGACTGCGTCCGGTCTCATGTCTGAGTGACTCTCTAGATGTGTGAAGAGTTTTCTAAAGCTTTCAGGGCGTAGAAAGTCTAACTTATAAATGTTGTTGTCTGTTGTTTTGTTTTGTTCATGGTTCAGCCAGACTGACAATGTAAAGAGCAGAAAGAGCAACAGATGGATAACAAAGTAAGAATTATTCAAACTGCTCGCTTAGCATCACAACAGTAACAGAGAGTTAGCGTTGAGTTAGCACTGTTAGCAGCTGAGCATGCTGTGGACTGACCAATCACAGTTTACATCTCTTTAATATTACAGTGAGGAGACTGCAGAGGGCCCAAAGACAATCCAACTCAGTATTTAGAGCTGCATTGCATCATCTGCTTCAATAATGATCAATAATGTCATGCAATACATCGACTAAATGGACGTTTTCATAATCTAATTTTCTTCTTTTGGGGATAAAACTATTTGAATGTAAAGAATATATTTGGTGTCTGTTGTTATCTTTGTTAAACTAGTTTAATAAAGCTGCTTCATAACCTTTGAACGGTAGTGGATATTAAATGGTGCCACAGAAACATTATATAAGTGTGTATTTGTTAACACTAGATGTCTTTACCTTCCTCTGTCTCACTGTGTGGCAGGTGGAGCTGGACGACGGCAGCTTCAACAGAACTCTTCACGTCGAACAGCGGCCCTGCTGCCTGCTTGCCAGCTGATTGGAGGAGGCTCTCCTCCCAAGGGACCGTCCTGTACAGAAGCTCCGCCTCCTGAGCCATGACGAACACCAGGCCAGTCGAAGCACACTGGAACTCACCTGGACCAGGACACCTGAACCTGTAGACACACAGGGGACAAGTTACTACAACAAGCCTTCACTGGCCTGTGTTCTGACTGACAGGTGTTCATCCAGCTGGAGTCTGACCTGGAGGAGGGTTTGTTGAAAGATCCTGATGATTACAGGAACATCACTGAAGATGTGTCTACATGCATCAGAATGTGTGTGGATGTGTGCAAAAACAAAACAATCCTATACACAGAAGCATGGTTAGTTTGTTGAAAGATCTGAAACACTTGATGATTACAGGAACATCACTGAAGATGTGTCCACATGCATCAGGATGTATGTGGATGTGTGCAAAAACAAAACAATCCTACACACAGAAGCATTATTTTATTTATATCTGTTAGAAAGAGATTGGATGCAATACGTCATGGTGAAAGACATGAAATTAAACACAATAAAATAAATATATATTTTGAAGGGGTTAAATAATGTTTGGTCATGTTATAGCATTACCAGTATGAAGATCCAGTTGTGTTTTCAGGTGAGAAGGATTCAGGAGCCTGGAACAAACAAAGTTATTTATTTATTGTTTGAAAAATGCTAATTAGTCTGGATCATCTGAGTTCATCGTCAATTTCAAACGGTCAAAACACAGTATTACCAGCCAATCACAGCACAGTATTACCAGCCAATCATAGCACAGTATTACAAGCCAATCACAGCACAGTATTACAAGCCAATCATAGCACAGTATTATAAGCCAATCACAGCACAGGATTACAAGCCAATAGTAGCACAGTGTTACAAGCCAATCACAGCACAGTATTACAAGCCAATCAAAGCACAGTATTACAAGCCAATCACAGCATAGTATTACCAGCCAATCACAGCACAGTATTACCAGCCAATCACAGAACAGAAGTACTAGCCAGTAGGAATATTTCCCATTTCGTCGGGGATCGAGATATTTTAAATGACATCGTCATATACATTTATTGAATCAACTTGGTGACATGTAATCCTCTAAGGCACACCTCCCATTAAAAAAAAACAAATTAAATAGAAATATTCATAACTCATAATCGAATACCTAAATCATTTCGATCAATTGCGAGCGTTATAGCGTTTAACTTGACAGCCCTAACAATTATATTTGAATTCAGTGGTGAAATCAATACACTTCACTCTGTACAACTGCTCCTCTCTCACCTTTCTTTCTGTCTTCACTTCCTGTTCCACATCGGAGTCACCTGATGGAGAGAAGAGGTGACAGAGAAAAATAATAATTAAACTTGAACAAAGAGAAACATTAGCAGCCAAAATGATTTGATAGAGCTGTAACAAACTGGAATTACAATATATTGTTGTTGTTCTATAAAGACCTTTTCAGATCAGATTTAATGTACAATATCTTGATGAATGGAGGATATGGTTTCAGTACTCACAGGTCTTCTGGATCTTGGCTCTGATTATCTCATCATCTCTGATCCTGCAGGGATGAACACAATCCAACAGTTTTAGATCCAGTTTAAAATAAGTGTTTGTTCTTTGAGTCAGCTTCAGATTCCTGATCTCATGCTTTACATCCCATCATATCTTCTCTGCAAACACTACGTCTCTCAGCTGCATTACTGGAAGTAACCAGTCATTAGAAACTAAAAACATGATGGAACAAAACAGACTACCTTTTCCACTCTTCTGTAAAATCCCATATGTCTGTTAGAAAGTTGATTACTAAAGTTTGGCTTTGCATTTTCAGCTGGCCTTCTATAGTTGATGGAAGAATCTGTTTTGATTCCCCAGTGAGAGAAACACTTCCCTGTGTTTAATACAATACTGCTGAACCAGCAGAGACCCCTTACTGACCAGAGAGTCTCCAGTCTGCAGTCTGGACTCTCCAGAAGATCTATCAGCAGCTTCAGTCCTGAATCCTGCAGATCGTTGTCACTCAGGTCCAGAACTCTCAGATGGGAGGGGTTGGACTTCAGACCTGAGGCCAGAGCAGAGATGCTGATCTCTGACAACCTGCAGCCACTCAGTCTGAATAAATAAAACATGATGAGGATACAAATCAATTTATAATCCTGTCAGATGTTCAGGTCTAAAATGTGTAGCTCAACATTACTGTGTCCTAATCACTGAGCTTTTCCCTGAATTACAGTGGCTGTCATTCTGTTATATCTCTCACAGGCTCCGCCCTCTACTGGACTCTATGGGTACTCCCCTGTATCCTATTCATGCATGCATTCCTTCACTGAGACTTCCATAGATGTAGCCGGCCCCTGGGCGGGCCTACCTGAATGCGCGCGCATCCACCGCATAAGAGGCAGCCTCGCCCCCTCACTGCCATCCCTTTCTCTTCAGCTAAGCAGCATGCGAGTAACTGAGTGAAGAGAGACGGACAAAGAAGAACGTTTTTCTGTAGTAAACCAAACACGACTCACCAGCGGAGCACCCGTGTCCATCGTGTCCGGGTTCTATCGAGGGTGACGATCCCCATACTCGGTGTATCGAGTGTCTGGGGTCTGACCACGCGGCGGCTAACCTGCCTCCATCAGCAGTCTGCAGCGCCAGCCGGCTATTAACTCGATCCAGCCACCTGCACAGAGTGGCGGTGTTCGAGGGGTGCTACGTCTCGCCGGTGGAGGACCCAGAGCTCGACGTGATGGAGATGGAGGACCTCGAGCAGGGAGTGCTCTGCGTCTTCGCCATCCCAGTGTCGGACGGGTCCGAGCGTCGGAGAGAGGGACGATGATGAGGACTCCTCGTCGTCCGAGATCTCCGGTGACCACCAGGAAGGCCATCAGCAGAGCGGGTCTGCACGACGGGACTTCTCGGCGGTGATGGCTATGGCGGCGGAGCGTGCAGGCTTGCCGCTCCCCTCACCGTTGCCACTGAGGCCGGTGAGCCGCATGCGTCAGGGCTTTTACGGCCCGGCTCGTCCAGCACAGCCGGCCTTCGTTTCACCCCCCCTGCCAGACATCCGGCGGTATGTGGAGGCCGTGTGGCGGCAGCCACTGAGAACGAAGGCTCCGATGGCTACTTGGGCTGGAATCCACTCGGTCACCGAGTGTCCCAGTCTTCTTTTCAAAATAAAAAAAGATAAAATGTATTCCAGTTTGTGTGTCTCTTCTTTCCACACACCCACACGGCCACGTAATGTTGACAGTACAGTTCCCCACTCGCTGCCCAGGTTGTAACTCCAGTAAAGGAGGCAGCTAGTGCGCATGCGCGGGTGAGAGTGATAACCGCGCTATGCGGGTACAGGGACATTATGGCCGGCGTAGCGGGGTTGGGAAACAATTAACGCCAAGTGTAAGAACTCCGATTGATGTTTTTTTCACTGTTTGGGTGAAAACATCATGGCGGAGCATGCGCTCCCACGGGAGTGCGCCGCGGTGCGTTCATGGACCTCAGTGGAGAGTCGGCCCTTTTCTGTGTCGACCCCCCATGGGCAGAGCTTCCCGTCACGGGGAGTTTTTGCGGCGGGGCAGGTAGCCAGAGATTACCACAGCTTTATTGCTGGGGCCCCACAGTTGATTGCACATCCCCTAACACAGTGTTATGGGAATGGGAAACGCAGCAGTTTGCAATCGGGGCGTTACCCACTCTGGACCACCCTCTCCAGGCTTGGCTCCTGAGAGGGATAGGCTAAGGCAGGGTGGATTGTCTGACAGTGTTATTCAGTCTATCCGGGCAGCTAGAGTGGGATCCACCACAGCCTGTTACAGGCCAAAGTGGCTGGGATTCCAACGATGGTGTGAGGAGCGGAAAATAGAGCCCCTATCTTGTAAATTGGGATTTTTCTTCTTCTTTCGTACTTACAGTTGTTGGTGGACAGAGGGCTCGCTCATTCCACAGTGAAAGTGTATGCAGCAGCCATCTCGTCCTGCCATGAGGGATTTGGCGACAGGTCAGTTTTTGCCCAGCCGCTGATGTCGCGGTTTTTGCGGTGGGTCAGGAGGCTGCGCCCAGTGGTGCGCGCCTCTGCCCCGCAGTGGGACCTGCCGCTGGTGCTCGAGGCTCTGGTCACGGGACCATTTGAGCCTCTGGAGCTCTCTTCCCTGAAAGCATTGTCATAGAAGACAGCGTTGCTGCTTGCCTTAACGTCAGCCAAAAGAGTGTCTGAGTTAACCGCTTTATCGGTGCACCCGAGTTGTTTAAACATCCGGGGTGACCGAAGCGGGGCGACACTCAGACCGAACCCCTCCTTTGTGCCCAAGAGCCTAAGGAGTATCTTCAGGTCGAGGGCTATCCAGTTGGGGGGTTTTAATCTCCCCCGCATAGTGGGGCGAGGGAGGCTAAATTGCACCTCCTCTGCCCGGTGCGTGCGCTGGCATGTTATGTAGAGCACACGGCTGTCCTTAGACACACAGAACAGCTGTTTGTGTGTTTCGGCGGTGGGGTAACTGGAAAAGCTTTGTCCAAGAAACGCCTGGCAGGCTGGCTTTGCGAGTGCATTGCACATGCCTACGGACAGGTGGGGAGAACCTTCCCCGCGGGGGTCCGTGCACACTCTACACGAGCCATGGCTGTGTCAACAGCCTTATTTAATGGCGTAAGTGTGGAGGACATATGCACGGCGGCATCTTGGTCAACACCAGGTCCCCTCATTAAGTTTTATCTCTTGGACATGTCTGGCTCCTTTTCATCGTCTGTGCTTGCTGGGGCAACACAGGACTGGTGAGGAGGGAGAGGGGGGCTGTGGGTCAGTAGGCATCTGACCCCCTCCCCGGACGTAATGTGCTTACGCTTCCCGGGCCCCCGGCCCCGGGGGATGTAACGCACACATGGGCCCATAGGGGCTGGAGGTTTCTTTTTTTCCCCTGCATTAAGACAGGGGGAAGAAATCCTCTACGTCATGGCACACCTCCGTGGGGTAAGCGCGTCAGGGTGTGCCCGGCCAGCCGCAGCCTCTTTCTCTCCTCGGTTATGACCGAGGGAGAGTTAAGGGAGGCGCAGCGGCTGCGAGACAGAAAGCCGGTCCAAAACAGGGTGTTGGAGCGGTGTTGGAGCGGTGTTCTCGCAAGACAGCAGAGCGGGTATACATCGGGCTCCGCCCCTGTACCCATAGAGTCCAGTAGAGGGCGGAGCCTGTGAGAGATATAACGTTGGGTTACGTATGGTAACCCTTGTTATATTAGCACAACGGAGCCCTCTACTCATGGAAGCACTGCTGTCCTATGCTACTCAGCTGAAGAGAAAGTAAAGGGATGGCAGTGAGGGGGCGAGGCTGCCTCTTATGCGGTGGATGCGCGCGCATTCAGGTAGGCCCGCCCAGGGGCCTGCTACGTCTATGGAAGTCTCAGTGAAGGAATGCGTGCATGAATAGGATACAGGGGAGTACCCATAGAGTCCAGTAGAGGGCTCCGCTGTGCTAATATAACAAGGGTTACCATACGTAACCCAACGTTATTTTGGATCATCATTATATCAGCCTTCTGTTTATTATCTGTTAAAACACGTCTAAATTACTGGAACATAAACATTTCTGTGTCAGAAAGTAAACTTTACGTAAAACTAATATTAATTCAGAGGACCTTCTTTATTCAGAACATTTACTAAAGAAATCATACATTTACTTTAACAACCGACAGTGGAAGAATAATAGTTTCTCTAGGAAACAATCAACTGTTACGACAACATTTACAAACTTATGGATGTATTATATGTATGATGAACAATTAGGTTGAATAACTAATGAAATAATGAGATCTCCAGCAGTAACAGAGAGTCAGAGAACTGACCTGAGAGCCTCCAGTCTGCAGTCTGGATTCTCCAGAAGATCTCTCAGCTTCACTCCTGAATCCTTCAGATCGTTGAGACTCAGGTCCAGATCTCTCAGATGGGAGGGGTTGGACTTCAGAGCTGAGACCAGAGCCGAACATCTGATCTCTGACAACCTGCAGTGCCTCAGACTGAATAAAGAAAACATGATGTTACTTTAGAAAAAAACATGGTCCTGTTATAACTCCAGGTTTAATAATCTGTTCAGAGCTGAAGAAGTTTAGAAAGTGGAAACTCCAGTCGAACATTTTTCCAACGCCAAATTCAAAATGGCCGACTTCCTGTAGGTTTTTTTATACACCTCCAAAGGCTTTTTGGTTTGTCTCCGCACTTTTGATAAGCGCATTAAAATAAGTATAATATATATAATAATAATAATAATAATAATAATCCTATCGATATCAGTAATGTAGCGAGCTGGGTCAATAGGGTCTTCGCTGACCTCTGCTCTCAGACCCTAATAAGTCATCTCCAGAGTTAAAAAAACTTCTTATTCTAGGTTAATAAATCATACATTCACAATCAGAATATCCCTGAGTACAGACGCAGGTAATGAATAGTATCGTCTTAATAAATAAATTATAAATTGCTCTTATTGTCATTTCACAGTACAGGTACTATGTAACGAAATTGTTCCTCTGCATTTGACCCATCCTAGTGTTAGGAGCAGTGTGCTGCCGTGGACGGTGCCCGGGGAGCGGTGCCTTGCTCAGGGACACCTCGGTAGCAGTTGGTCTAGCTGTACCTGGCACTTCTGGACATGCAAGCGGCGGGTCCGGGGTGCTACTAGTGCTGGCTATTGATGCCATACTCGGGCTAGGAGCCCGCAAGCCATCAAAGACTGTACATTATTTTATCTCGATGCCGTGCTGTCTTAAATGTTTGCTTAAATTAGAAGTGCAACCTGACGAACAAGTTATTAACTTTCCACAGGCATTGCACTGTGCCTTGTATTTTTCTTTTTTTGTGTAGTGGAGCCACACTTTAGAGCAGTGACCGCGATCCATCTTTAGTGTTATAAAGTGACTGAGCCGTGCATGCTGGTATCTAAACAAATCAAATCACAGGCTGCTGTTCGTTGATGCGTGACATCGTCACGTTACTATACAGGTCCTTCCAGATAGCTACGTAGCCTACGTCAGTGCAGATATGTAGGCTTTCTTTGCAATAATAAAGGGTTAGTGTACCGCGTTTAGGAACCGTTAAGCAGAACCCAAAATATTGATTTTGTATGGGTACCCGGTACCCAGCATTTTGTTATCGGTTCTCATCTGTAACCGAGTTTTGGTTCCCAACCCTAACCCCCCGCCCCTCGATAGTATGATCATTTGAGCTTTTAGTAAAATACAAAAAGAGCCTTCAGTCACTTTTCTATTGAATAGTTTTAGTGAAACGTTAAAAAGACGATCTTATTCTGGGTTAATAAATCATTAATTCACGATCAGAATATCCCTGAGTACAGACGCGGGTAATTAATAGGTAGGCTAAGATGAACACTTTCTGCCAGGTTAGATGCATCTTGTGCTGCTAAGCAGTGGTTGATGGTGGGCAGGTGTGTGTTAAACAGGTAACACACTGCTGCTCCTTCATGATAACTGAGAGCATTATATTAGTATGAGCAGAGTGCACATGTCAGCAAACTGTCCAAAGTGTGTAGAGCTGTTAAAGCTGACAGCTGATCAGCTGAAGCAGACAAGGCTTCAGTGACGCTTCAGAGGAAAGCCCTCATCCCTCCTCTAGTCTAATGTAACATTAAGGACTGTCTCAACGAGCCCTTCACTTCCTCTTGTGTGATTACAAAGATACCTGAACACATTTATCTAGCATCAAGTGTCTTTCACCAGACCTGGGCTTTTGTTTTGAAAGGACTTCTGGGGGTTGCCCCCCCCCCCCCCCTCGCTACTATGATCAGCTATGAGCTTTTAGTAAAATACAAAAAGGGCCTTCAGTCACTTTTTTATTGAATAGTTTTAGAGAGAAAGACCATTAAAGTGAAGGAACACAGACTTCTCATTAATATTAAACACAACGTGCTTCTACTTCACATCTGAGACTCTGCTCCATCTACACTAACTCATGATGTGCAGCCGGAGAAACACAAACCCTCAGAAACTGATTCAGCTCAAGATCCCTACGTTTACAAAGATCACAAATAGGATGCATTTTAAATGTGAAGAAACATCCAGAATATTTATTTTAGGAATAGTGGAGTCATCAAATCACAGCATCTTCAGTGTAAACTATTCAGTCAGTAAAGCATCATGTAGCTTCAGAAACACGTTGGAAACAGAAAGAACTGAAAATACTTGTTAGTGTTTTATAGTTTTAATAAACATATTTAATTATTGTATTTCAAAATATTTGTTAAAATCATTATGGAGAAAATAAGATGTATACCAGGTGTTTAAAGGTTCAGAGGGAATTATGCAGTGAAGGTTTTTTTTGTATGTTTAAATGTAAAGATCAACATTGCTCTGCCACAGTCAGTGAACTAAACCACAGAAGAAGAAAGTAGACTCTAGCATTAAGATGCTCAGTGAGGATTAGGGGTGCAACAACTAATCGACTTAATCGATTAAAATCGATGACCAAATTAGTTGCCAACTAATTCAGTCGTCGATTTGTTGGTGACGTCATTACATTACATCACGTGTGTTTTACGCGCCGTTAAGCTCCAACGTTATCGGTCTTTTTATCCCTACTGGAGACATTTAAAAAATATATGTCATATGTATTATTGCTACATAAACATTATATTGCAGTCTTAGTTTCGCCAACACCGTTTCTAACATGCAATAAGACTACAAAATGTGTCTATGATGTATTTTTGATCTTTCCAATCCAGACGAGAGATCTCTCTCCCCCGTCTGTGTTTGAGGGGGCCGGGCAGTGCACACACATGCGGCTGCTACATGCATGCAACACACACACACACACGCTGCTGCTACATGCATGCAACACACACACACGCTGCTGCTAAATGCATGCAACACACACACACGCGGCTGCTACATGCATGCAACACACACACACACACACGGCGGAGATGGTGGAGAGAAAGCGCTCCAAGGTGTGGTTTAACTTTACCCGTCTCGATGTGGGCAATGCTCGTTGCCAAAAGTGCAATAATAGTTTAGCATGTAAGGGCGGTCACATGAGCAATTTGACTAAACATCTTGCAAAAGTGCACCACATTCACATGGAGAAATGCACCGTTTTCAACTGTCTTTCTAGTAGCTCTGTAGCACCATCCACAAGTAACATTTCCACGTCAGGTGTTATGTATGCTAGCAGCAACACACGGAGTTAACTAAATTATACAAACATGGTTAATGATTAGAGGTAACTAAGATATTTATTTTGTTAAAGTTTCAGCTATTCTGTTTACAGTTCTGTCATCACATTATTTAATGCGATTTGTTAAAACATTGTTGTTTCTTTTGATGTGAAATATTATTTATTTAATTTAAATAAAAAGCAATGTTAATTTTGTTCACAATTTGTTTGGTTCATGTACCTTTTTTTTTTTTAAAGAACCGATAAGAGTACCGTTAAAAGACCGGATCAATAAGCGGTATCGATAAAAGTAGTAGTACCATTAAAACCTTAACGATACCCATCCCTAGTTGACAACGCGAAAAAGGTCATCTTTTATCTGATCTGATTTGCTATCCTTGGTTTAACATGTTGACGGACAGATTTTTTATTTATCTTTCAGCAGAAAGTTTAATAAAATATTTATTTTTGAATTGAGTATTCATCTTTATTGTCTTCATCATTAGTTTCCAAATGCCTAAAACAACCTCATGCTAAATCTAAAAGTTGATGGCTAAATAAGAGCGTTTGAGAAATTGTGCATAATCCGAATAGTCAATTAATTGTTTCATTAATCGATAGATTAATCGATTATCAAATTAGTCGTTTGTTTAGCCCTAGTGTGGATCAGTGTAATATCAGCCTGATGTCTGCAGCTCAGAGTCAACACAACTCTCACATATTAATCTCAGCACAAAAGTTAAAGATGGAGAACTGACCCGAGAGTCTCCAGTCTGCAGTCTGGACTCTCCAGGAGATCTCTCAGCATCTTCACTCCTGAATCCTGCAGATCGTTGGCACTCAGGTCCAGAACTCTCAGATGGGAGGGGTTGGACTTCAGAGCTGAGATCAGAGCAGAACAGCTGATCTCTGACAACCTGCAGCCACTCAGTCTGAATAAAGAAAACATGATGAGGATGAAAATCTGTTTATAATCCAGTCCAGTCAGATGTTCAGGTCTGAAATGTGCAGCTTATCATTACTGTCTCCTAATCAATGAGCTATTGCCTGAATTACAGTGACTGTCATTCTGTTATTGTGGATCATCATTATATCAGCCTTCTGTTTATCTGTGAAAACACGTCTAAATGACCGGAACATAAACATTTCTATGTCAGAAAGTAAACTTTACGTAAAACTAATATTAGTTCAGAGGACCTTCTTTATGCAGACCATTTACTAAAAAAATATACATTTACTTTAACAAATAACAGTGGAAGAATAATAGTTTATTTTGGAAACAATCTACTGTTACGACAACATTTACAAACTTATGGATGTAATATATGTATGATGAAGAATCAGGTTGAATAACTAATGAAACAATGAGATCTCCAGCAGTAACAGAGAGTCAGTGAACTGACCTGAGAGTCTTCAGTCTGCAGTCTGGACTCTTTAATCCAGAACTCAGCAGCTTCACTCCTGAATCCTGCAGATAGTTCCAACTCAGGTCCAGATATCTCAGATGGGAGGGGTTGGACTTCAGAGCTGAGATCAGAGCAGCACAGCTGATCTCTGACAAACTGCAGCTCTCCAGTCTGAATAAAGAAAACATGATGTAACTTTAGAAAACAATGTTCCCGTTTAAAATAACTCCAGGTTTAATAATCTGTTCAGAGCTGAAGAAGTTTAGAAAGTGGAAACTCCAAACAGGTTAAAACCTCTTAAGCATGGCGGTCCCCCATTGGACCCCTCCCACCGTTTTCTTTTTCGAGACAATGTCTCAGGGCTTCTTAACATTTATGAAACTATTAATGTGTAGCACCAGATTAACGGGAAGAATCTCAGCTAACTGAAGATATGAACCATTTTTACCAAAACAAAACACAAGTCTCATAAGAAGCGTCTAAATGACCGCTGAGCGAAAAAATGCAAACTGACTTTGGCACACAATTCAAGATAAAGATACCCTTATTACTTATCGTAGCTGCACATACAATATATCCGATTAAAGCTGAGACTCCACAGATTATTTAGGTATAGTATCATCACTGAGCGATCCGAAACTTGCGACAGGGGAAGCAAACACAGACATCACAACACGTATCTTTACGGAGCTTTTACGGCAGATCGTCTCACCGTAGCTGTCAATTAGGTCAAAAGACGTGTTCAATGGCATTAAAACTAAAAAGAAAATGCTACAACTGTTGATCCATAAATTGATAATGTACCTGTGCCTTTAAAAAAATTATTTATAATCCATAATTCCATTTTTATGTAAAAATCGGAGCGGAAAAGTTAGCTGCTAATGGTAGCCACCAGAGTGTATGCAGCTTCCGGTTTTGGTTACGCGTCACTCTCACTCCTTATTTGTAAACGTTTTGGTGTGTATAGAACTTTCCCTCGATTCCATTGGCTCTAGCGGTTATAAAAGCCGCGTTCACACCAAGTACTTTCCTGTACTTAGTTCCGGCACTAAGAGCCCCGGCGCTTTTAACCCCAGGGCACTTAGTACAGATCGCGTTCACACCGGAGTACTTTTCCCTGAGGGAAGATTACGCAAATGAGCCGCTGACGTCACTTCTTCTTCTTCTGGTTTGGTTTTACTGGCAGGCCACAAACCACTTCACGGCGAGTACAGTAGGTGGCGGTATGCACCTTAAAGTTGTTTGCAATCCGCTACAAAACAAGAGAAGAAGAAGAAAACCTTCCCGCGTATACTGCGACGCCCACCCACTCGCTGTACATTAGGCGTCTGTTGTTTACCTTCCGACCTCAGACATGATGGAGATGGAGTCGACTGAAGTTGTGCTGTTTGTGCTCATGTTATACAGCTTTTTAACTGAGTTAATGCAGCCTGAGCAACTTGCGTACAATAACAAAGCAAGCCGAGCACGAGTGGTGGTGGAGAACGCTTTTGGCAGACTGAAGGGCAGGTGGCGGTGCTTGATGAAAAGAAACGACTACAAGATCACAATCCAGGTGGCAGCATGTTGCATATTACACAACCTTTGTGAAAGTAATGAGTACAGGGACGAATGGACTGCCTTACCGGCGACCCAGCTTTATGAGGCATCTGAACAGCGTGTACATTGTAAACATTTTGACAATGTTTCTCTTTTATTTTCCAGTCAAGACAGGCAACATTACAATAGTGTACAGTGTGGCAATATAATAACAATAAACTGTGCCAGGTGTGTTGTATGCACAGTAAATAGGCTCAGCAGCAAACCCACCGTTATTAGTATATATATATCTTCCTGAGACCCACTGCATCCGTCTGCCATAAACACTATGGAAACATACATGTTAGTTTCGGCCCATAGTGGACTCCATTTTGTGTTGTGTAAAATGGGGGGGGGGGGGGGATATAAATGATCATATTTGTGTATGTGCCCCTGCCATTCCTCCACAAGGTTGCAACATTGATGATAAATAAATGACAAATAAAGCTTTGCCAGTTTATAACCGATGAAACATGATGGTATCAGAATAATCACTTACATGTGATGTATAGGATGCTACGGTCACTAAAGATAAAGTGTCAGGAGAAATAAGCAAGATACAGGATCTGTTTAACAGTAAATAGAAGTTCACATTTTTAATGTAAATAAAATAGAAGTTGTACATGTAAATTAACATTATCAATATAAAATAAAGTGTCAGTTGTATCAAGACTATATAATAACAGTAATAACAATAATATAAAATGAACTGGTGAGCATCTTGTCCTCCGTTTCCTGGGCCTTGGTGAACAGCACCATCTGATCTCCGTGCATCGACTCTTTCACCACGGCACGCCGGTCCTCCAACGCCTGGACGGTGTCAAAGAAATTCGCATCCCGTGTCCGCTTTCCTAAGAGGGGAAAATAAGTAAGATACAAGATCTGTTTAGTCGCCATGTAGTTTTACAACATACTAGGAATGTTTTTTTGGTATTTTCACGAATAGAATTAAGGTTTCACAAATCTGAAACTGTGTTATAAAGAATGTTTAGCCTCTCTGGGATAATCCAGTCCAGATTTGATGAGTCTAGGTATAGTGGTTTTAGATCAGGACCTGGTCTAATGTGGCCAGGATGCGAAAAAGCACTGAAATCTCCCTTTTTTGTATTTTCCCAAATAGAATTAAGGTTTCACAAATCTCAAACTGTGTTATAAAGAATGTTTAGCCTCTCTGGGATAATCCAGTCCAAATAAATCGGCTATGCAGCGATTTAAGAGGTTCAAACACGGAGGATTGTGCTTCATGTATGCTTGAATTTTGTTTAATGTTGTTGAGGCAAGTTTTCGTACCGGAAGTCATGTGACCTCTAGCCCTGATGTTTACAATGTTTGTGTGAGACATTTGTAAATGCCGGTCTTGGTCTTCACGCTGTTTCATAATTGTACCAAGAAGGAAATAAACATGATTGTGAACATCAGTTCGATGCGTAACGTTCTTTCAAGACAAAGTTACAGTGTGTGTACCTTTGCGTTTGGTTGCTGGTAAGGGGGGCGAGCTAGCGCTGTGATCTAGAATGCAAAGCTCGCTTGTTTCCAATCCCGAGAGTTGTCCATCCTCGCCTGAAACAGACGATTAGTGCCATGAGTTAGTGAAGCAAATTACAGAAACACTACACAGTTATTCACAAGTCAAAACGTTTTCATACAGCCGAGAATATCTAGCTAGCTAGATGTAGCTAGCTCGGGGCCGGTGTTAGCCTATTCCGCCTAGCATGGCTAGCTTGATCTACTGAGCAAATAAAAGTACATCTGAGACCATTATTGTGCAGATTAAAACCCCAGTGCATGTAGTTGATTTTACCTTTGTCGTGGTCGTCATCGTTGGCCACTGAATCCGCCGTTTGTAGTCCTGCCCGAGTTTCTTTATTTTTAGCCGGTGTGTGCCGTGGGGCTGTGCTCATTCCCAGGTTGAGTGAAAGCTACTGAACTGGCTTCAGTAGCATTCGCTGGGTCACGTCCTCGGCGTAGATCTCCAGAAGCGCCGACACCTCCTCATCATTTCTTGATGCTTGCCATAACTGCTTTCAAAAACAAACCCAACGCTCCGTCGGGATTTTGTAGCGAGGGAAAACAATGGCGTCTCCACACAACATTTTTCACAGTTGTACGGGCGTGGTTTGCAATTCGCCCAGCCAATCAGCACTGGGGCACTTTTGGGGCACTTTGCACCCTCAGGAAAGTACGCTCTCTCAGCCGGCTCTAAAAATGGGGGTAAAAGTACCCGAGATTAAGTACGATTTTTGGTGTGAACGCGACATAAGGGGTACTTACGGAACTAAAACGCGAAAAGTACGGTGAAAGTACTCCGGTGTGAACGCGGCTAAAGAGATTTCATTCATCAAAATCGAGCAAGGGGGGCCAGAGATAGGTCAAATCCACCCAAATGACCCCAGAAGTGGGTTTGTTTGGCTAAACCTCTCTAAAAAGGTCAAATGTCACTTGTTTTGCATCAATCTTGATACAGGGTACTTATTATATGTTGTACTTTGGATTCCTAAAGCTTTTAGTCTACTAACCCATCATCCAAGGGTAGTTTTCACTATAAGTAAAAAATAATTTTTGGACGGACACTATAATTTACAGTTTTTTACTATGTAAAATCTGAATTTTCTTTAAAATAAAAAACATCTATATTGATTCTGACTTTTCTACATCCAACTCACAGGTTTATCATTACTTTGAGAAAAAAGATTATTAATTTAACCCTTTTAGAAGGGAAGATATGGTCATTTGTTCTGGGAATGTCATTTTCGAGCCTGAGACCTGAAAAACAGGCTCAGGGCTTAACAGGTTAAAAACTGTAAGACAGAAAAAGTTAAATCGAGCTGATAGTCCGTGTTTTTTTATTTAAATCGTTTTATTTGTTAAACCAGTGAACAGAGAGGAGACTGCAGGCTCTTTAGTTTCTGCTCTTGGTCTTACTAAATGATCAAATTATCTTTGGGGAGAGGGAAGGGACTCTCAGAAGATAATGAAGAACAAAAGCCCTCGCTCAATAACGTGGGGGGAGGCTTTATAAAGAATAACATCATCAAGGCATGTATATTAATATTTCATTGAGAAATGTCAGCCTACATAACCACGAGGCGCTGTCTGTAGTGAGGTCTGTGCTGAAGCGTTCCTCTGACGCTGCTGTGGCTCGTTTGAAAGGAAATCCAACCACTGTTAATAAACCAGTGTTGTAGTCAAGTCACCAATTCACGAGTCCAAGTCACTCTCGAGTCACCACTCTTCGAGTCCGAGTCCAAGTCTGAGTCACCAAGGGAGAGTCGTAGTCGAGTCCGAGTCCAAGTCCGAGTCACCCAAGGAGTGTCCGAGTCGAGTCCGAGTCCGAGTCATCATTACCTGTGTTCGAGTCCGAGTCCAAGTCCGAGTCACCCAAGGAGTGTCCGAGTCGAGTCCGAGTCATCATTACCTGTGTTCGAGTCCGAGTCCAAGTCCGAGTCACCTAAGAAGAGTCCAAGTCAAGTCCGAGTCACAAGTCTTCATGTATTAATCTTCATGGATAAATGTGTTGAAATGTAGCTGCTCCTCTACATTGCTTTTATCCTGTCATGTTATACTAATGTGTCTATTGAACTGCTGTGAAGCGAGTTTGGCTACAAGTCTTGTAATAGGTGCTATACAAATATAAAGCTTATTACTAATATTATTATTATTATTATTATTGTAAATGACCTTTAATATGTCTAACTATATTTAAAATTAGTTACCTTTTAGAGAAGTGATTATATTTGTATGCCAATATTTTCCTATGGTAACGTTTTCGTTGTGCACTTTTATTTTGATAGTAATAAGATCGGGACTCTTATTTTGAAGGAACTTTTACCGGTTAAATCGGTTTACTGATAAAGATTGAGCCCCAGAAAGCACATGGCTACTTAGCATGCAAAATTACGTCATTCTGCATGTTAAGTAGCCATGTGCTTTCGTGTTATCGGCTGAATCTTTATGTATTGATTAGATCACGTTACTCTGATGATAGTGTTCAAGACAGCCTATATGTCTGAACTCGATCCTTAGAGTAATGTGTTACGGAGCCTTCTCTTCAATATTGTTTCCACATAACGAGCATTTTGCGCTGCTCTTTTCCAATGTGGAAGCAGAATGTGTGAAAGCATACAGCACGATGCAGGGTGTGTCTCTAGACATCTTTAGACTGGAATAGCGGGGCCCAGTACGTGAACTCGCCTCACAGGTGCACATGCCAGGATAGAGGACATCAGACTCCAGAGAAAACTTGCTCGAGTCCGAGTCCAAGTCGGAGCGTCAATGTACAAGTCGAGTCTGAGTCATCGTGGGGGGAAAAATTCACGAGTCCGAGTCCAAGTCAGCGTACGCGAGAATTCATGAGTCCGAGTCCGAGTCCAAGTCATCGTGCGCGAGTCCGAGTCGAGTCACGAGTCCCGAAAATCGGCACTCGAGTCCGACTCGAGTCCGAGTCCAGGACTCGAGTACTCCATCTCTGTAATAAACTATTGCCAGTCAGATTCAGCAGGAGAGTCAGTAAACGTCCGGTCAGCAGAGCGCTGTAGTGCTGTCTCTGCTGTATAACTACTCTATGTGACAGTGGAAGAGAGACGATAAACACTTCATATTCATAAAGTACCGCCAGTTACATATATTCAAACTTTCCCACCAAACCAACCAGACTTGTATGGACAATTAGTTCCTGAAGTTAAATCATGCTCCATCTGTTTTGTTATTTTTACTCTGAGCGCAGCCATGTTGCATTCTGGGAGCTTGTTCATCACAGCAGTGGATTTAAGCAGCAGAGAGCCGGCACGTGTACAGCCTCTAACGCGAGCTGCAAACATCGCTCCGGTGCTCGAGCGGCACTTTGATAAATACATATTGATCTCAGCACAGAAGTTAAAGATGGAGAGCTGACCCGAGATTCTCCAGTCTGCAGTCTGGACTCTCCAGAAGATCTCTCAGCAGCTTCACTCCTGAATCCTTCAGATCGTTCTCACCCAGGTCCAGATTTCTCAGATGGGAAGGGTTGGACTTCAGAGCTGAGATCAGAGCAGAACAGCTGATCTCTGACAAACTGCAGGCCCACAGTCTGAATAAAGAAAACATGATGGGGATAAAAATATGTTTATAATCCAGTCAGATGTTCAGGTCTGAATAAAGAAAACATGATGTAATTTTAGAAAACAATGTTCCTGTTTGAAATAACTCCAGGTTTAATAATCTGATCAGAGTTAAACAGGGTTTTAATGTCAGTGATGATGTAGAAACAATCCATTGATAATCTGGAACTTTAACTTTTGATCAGATCTTTAACAACTCCTTAATCTCCCTCACAGCTCATCAGTACTGACAGCATCTCCACTGACTCATGGAGCACAGTGTGAATCTGTGGAAGCTCAAACACTCTCCCTCACACATTCACCTTCTCTCTGTTATTCTGATAAATATTCAGTCATTAGCAAAAGTGAGAATAATAATTAAAATGTATTTGTTCTCAGGCAAATTCAGAAAATCATAAACACAAACAGATCTATATGAACTGCAGTCAGTGAACTGACCTGAGAGTCTCCAGTCTGCAGTTTGGACTCTTTAGTCCAGAACTCAGCAGCTTCCCTCGTGAATACTGCAGCTTATTCCGACTCAGGTCCAGATCTCTCAGATGGGAGGGGTCAGACTTCAGAGCTGAGGCCACGACTTCACATTCAGTCTCTGAGAGTCCACAGTTAGAAAGTCTATAATGACACATATATTCACAACATGTGTTAAAAAAGAGGAAACATATTAACCTCAAGCATTTGAGGATAAAATATTTGACATGTTCTGATAGACATTTTCTGTTAGTCCATGCAATATTATTAGCGATGCTCCGATCAGGGTTTTTGGGGCCAATCGCCGATCACCGGAATCAGTATCGGCCGATACCGATCGCCGATCCGATGATAGGGTGGGTGGGGTCTATGGGGATCTTCCATTTAAAGTGATGTTTAAAACTCAGTTAATGGGGCTCATTTTTATATTGCTCCAGTTTACAATCGTAATGGATCGAAAAGTTCAGACTCATTTTTTCAATAAATGATGCGCTTCCACAAACAACCAACAACATAATTATTACATTCAAATTAAGTACATTATTCAAGTTTACATTAACTTTGGATAATAACATGGGAGAAATTAGCGGAAGCGCTCTCTTTTCCTCTCTCCCCCTCTCTCCCTCTCCTGACAGCCCGTCAGTATCTCCTGCAGCTCACTGATCCAGTAATGAGTGACCCGACAGTGAAGAATAAACATATGTATTACTAGTTTAGCTTGTTCCAGAGGTAGATCAAATAGCTAAGTGTGTTAGGTCTAACTCTTAGTGTGTGTTCTGCTCCGCTCACCGGTCCGTCACAGCGGGCGGAGCTGCAGGATTTCTGCTTCACACACACGTTGCACACCGCTATTTTACTGTCTTTTTCGGACACCTTAAAAAACTGCCAGACCGGTGAAGCCATTTTGGCGAGCTTGTTGCCGCGCACAGAGAAAAGTGTCATGTATTTTGCGCCATCTGATCGGCTCTTCTGATCGGCCTTTATAGAGCACACTGTTAAGAGTGAATATCAGCCGATAGTGATCGCGGCCGATCGATCGGAGCATCCCTAAATATTATATATAATAATGTATTATAATAGTTGAATGTGTTGTCAGTGTGATCTGATCACATGTCTGTGCTCCTGCTGTCAGTGACTGTTACCAAAGAAACATAAATTAATTAAATAACGTGACAATATTAGAGATGTACATATTTAAATGTTAATAAATATTTGGATGTGATGGATGAAGGATGTTTTGGGTTCTCTGAGCATCTGAAAATGTACTGCATACAGAAACACAATTAACAAACCAATAAACTTTCAATATTTTCAACTGAAAACCATCAGATGTTCCCAGTATATAAGCATTAAGACATAACTCTTTTATTGTTGGGAAATGATATAGATATTATTTTAAACTCTAATACATTGTGATAAAAATGTGCATCTGATTAATGATAAAGAAACTACTAGAAAGTAATAATAACAGCTTTCTCTGATAACTGTAAGTCCTGCTGTGTGGTGTGATCACATGCTGAGAAACCTCTAAAGTCTTCAATATGAAGAGAGAAATGTTTCAATTGAACTATTATTATAAATAAATGGAAGAGCAGTTTTGGTTTATTTTGCTCTCACAGTATTTAAACAGCAGAAATGTTAGTGTTTATTTGAATAATTAAACTTCTGATCCACATTAGTTTGTAAAGTTAATCACATCTGGACTTACTTGGCCTTCCTGCAGTTCCTCACAGCTGGAAGCAGTCTCCGTCGTCCCTCATCTGATGTTTTGTACTGATTCAGGTCAAACTCATCCAGAACCTCCTCTGACATCTGCAGCATGTAGGCCAGAGCAGAGCAGTGGATCACAGAGAGTTCCTTCTCTGATCTGTTCTCTGACTTCAGGAACTCTGTGATCTCCTGATGTACTGAGTGGTCCTTCATCTCTGTCAGACAGTGGAAAATGTTGATGCTCCTGTCAGGAGAGATATAATCACTGTTCATCTCCTTCAGGTTGCTGATGGCTCTCTGGATGATTTCTGGACGGTTGTCTGTGTGACCCAGCAGGCCTCCTAAGAGTCTCTTGATGATTTTTGGACGCTTGTCTGTGCGAGCCAGCAGGCCTCCTAACAGTCTCTGGTTGGACTCCAGAGAGAGGCCGTGGAGAAAGCGTACAAACAGGTCCAGGTGGCCATTTTCACTTCTGAGGGATTTCTCCATGGCGCTCTTCAGGAAGACATCCAGGGATGGGTAATCCTGATCACTGTTATACCTGTTGTTATAGTCTCTCTGCAGGAAGTCCTTCAGTACCTCTGTGTCTCTGTTGGTGTAACAGTGCAACATGTAGACTGCAGCCAGAAACTCCTGAATGCTCAGATGAACAAAGCAGTAGACTGTTTTCTGGAAGATCACACTCTCTCTTTTGAAGATCTGTGTACAAACTCCTGAGTGCACCAAGGCCTCGGTGACATCAACACCACAGCGCTCCAGGTCTTCTTGGTAGAACATGATGTCTCCTTTCTCCAGATGTTCAAATGCCAGCCTCCCCAGCTTCAGAATAAGCTCCCTGTCTGCCTCCGTCAGCTGCTGTGGACTCGTCTCATGTCCCTCTCCATACTTCTGCTTCTTCCTCTTGGTCTGGACCAGCAGGAAGTGTGAGTACATGTCAGTGAGGGTCTTGGGCAGCTCTCCTCTCTGGTTTGTAGTCAACATGTGGTCCAGAACTGCAGCAGTGATCCAGCAGAAGACTGGGATCAGACACATGATGTGGAGGCTCCTGGAGCTCTTGATGTGAGAGATGATTCTGCTGGACAGGTCTTCATCACTCGATCTCCTCCTGAAGTACTCCTCCTTCTGGGCATCAGTGAAGCCTCGTACTTCTGTTACCCTGTCCACACACTCAGGAGGGATCTGATTGGCCGCTGCAGGTCTGGAAGTTATCCAGACGAGAGCCGAGGGAAGCAGCTTCCCCCTGATGAGGTTTGTCAGCAGCATGTTGACTGAGGACTGCTGTGAGACATCAGACACAACCTCATTGTTTCTGAAATCCAGAGAAAGTCTGCTTTCATCCAGGCCGTCAAAGATGAGCAGCACTTTACAGACAGCCAGCTGCTCTGCTGTGACCTTCTGTAAGGTTGGATGGAAAACATGGAGCAGCCTGAGAAGACTGTACTGCTCACCTTTGATCAGGTTCAGCTCCCTGAAGGAGAGCGGGATCACCAGACTGACATCTTGGTTTTCCAAACCCTCGGCCCAGTCCAGAGTGAACTTCTGCACTGAGAAGGTTTTTCCAACTCCAGCGACTCCGTTGGTCAGGACCGCTCTGATGTGAGTCTGTTGGTCAGGTAAGGCTTTGAAGATGTCCTGGCACTTGATTGGAGTTTCATGAAGGGTCTTTGGAGTTTCATGAAGGGTCTTCTTCTTGGAAGCTGTCTCCAGCTGCCTCACCTCATGTTGGGTATTAACCTCTTCACTCTGGCCTTGTGTGATGTAGAGCTCAGTGAAGATCCTGTTGAGGAGGGTTTCACTTTCATCAGTTCCTTCAGTCACACGTTCACATCTCCTCCTCAGACTGAGCCTATGTTCATCTAAAACCTCCTGCAGACCACTATCTGCTGAAAGAGAAGGAAACATGAGAATAAGAAAATGCTTTTGAGAATCTAGCAATAAAAACAGACAGAGTTTAACATTTTTATAAAACAGCTCACTGTCTATGCTCTAAAACACTATACCTTGTTGAGGTTTCCATATTAAGTTGAATAATGAAAACGAAAGTTAATATTGAATTCAATTCAATAATCAAATATAATCAAATGTAATCAAATATATTCTTGTATAACCCACAATGAATATAATAAAAGTATATACAAACATAAGTGGTTTGGTAAATTGAGTTTAAGGCCTATTATAGTTTTTCACTATGGGTGTCACTGTTTAAAGAGGGGAGACAGTTGTCTTCACTCACAGCAGGCTATGAACAGGAGGGGCTGCACATACAGAAACCTCCCCGTGGTGCAGCCTGGGAAACGCTGGTTGAATGAGATATACATCCAAGAGGATATAATCTGATACTGCCAGTAGGCCAATCTCTGTATACTTACCTACGCAATCAAATGATGAAGATGCCTCGACAGCGTCACAGATACCTGCCCCTCTCTGGACCCGAACTGTCAATCGTCTCAATCAACATCGAAGGTTTCTCCGGATGCAAGGCAGAGATACTGGCAATGATGGCCAATCGTTTTGACATACATTCTGCATGCAGGAAACCCACATCGGCCCTGCACAACACCGACCTACCATCCCTCAAGGTTCAAGGTTCTTTATTGTCAATCTGACATAGCTACAGAGTAATTATGCAGTTGAAAATCGTATGTCACAGGCTTCTCCAACAATGCAACATAATAACATAATAACAATAAGAGCATGAGCAATACAAAAATAATAATAGTTATAAAAATGAATGGAATGAAAACTGGTCGCTGAGACAGACACAGACAGTATGGATCAGCTGTTTTCAGCAGACCAAACCTCAAGATTGAGGAAGTCTGGACCCACACTACGGAAGGAAACATGGAAACCATCACAGTTGCCCTCCCAAATGTCTCTGTCACATCAGTCTACAAACCACCCGCAACCCCTTTTCTGTACACAGAACTACCAGAAATATGCAAGAGGAGATTCCATATCAGCATCGGCGACTTCAATGCCCACAGTACATCATGGGGCTATGAGAACAACAACCAAGATGGAGATGAAGTTGAGACCTGGCTTGAGTCCAAGCACCTGACCCTAATCCATAACGCTAAACTACCCAAATCCTTCCACAGCGCCAGATGGAAACGAGGATACAACCCAGACCTCGCATGCGTAAGCAGTGACATTGCATCCAGAACTGAGAAGGAAGTCCTGGACCCTATCACCCATACCCAGCACCGGCCAATTGCCATCACCGTTAGATCCGCTCTCCAAGCAACCACCGTCCCATTCCGCAGGAGGTTCAACCTACGGAAAGCCGACTGGTTGTCATTCCAACAGGAGATAGAGCGTTCCATATCTAACATACCACCATTTCCCAATAACTACTCCAACTTCACAGACTTGGTAAAAAGGTCAGCCAGACGTCACATACCCAGGGGATGCCAGACACAGTATATTCCTGGGCTATCAGAAACATCCAGCGACCTGCTGAAAGCCTACTATGAGGAATATAAAAAGGACCCTTTCTCCTCTACCACCATGGAACTTGGAGAGACCCTAATCAGTGAAGTTGGAGAAGAACAAAGGAAAGTCTGGAAGGAAATGATAGAGAACACCAATATGACAAATAACAGCAGGAAGGCATGGGCTACAATCCGCCGTCTTGGCGAAGACCACACCACACCACCCATAATCACAACGGTCACAGCAAACTCGGTTGCATCACAGCTGGTGGCCAACGGCCGTAACCAACACCGCCGCCAACCCACAGGAGAACACCATCGCACAGTGGTATCAGACCAACCACAACCAGCCAGCCCTCTCACCAAACCCTTCGACATAGAAGAACTCGAAACTGCAATGGGTAAGCTGAAACCCGGAAAAGCAGCAGGGATTGATGACATACTGGCAGAAATGATACAGCACCTGGGACCTAACGCAAAGACCTGGCTCCTGGAGATGCTGAACACATGTATGGCACAAAAAACCATCCCTCCTGTCTGGAGAAAGGCCAAAGTGGTTGCAATCCCCAAACCTGGCAAAGACCCATCATCCCCAAAGAGCTACCGACCCATTTCCCTCCTCTGCATCACTTACAAACTCTACGAGAGGCTGCTACTCCAACGGCTCATGCCACTCATAGACACCAAGCTGACTAAAGACCAAGCTGGTTCCCGTCCTGGCCGCTCCTGTGCTGGACAGCTACTCAACCTCACCCAACACATTGAGGATGGGTTTGAAGGAAAACAAATAACTGGAGCAGCATTCATAGATCTTTCTGCTGCCTATGACACTGTCCAACACCGTACAATGGTCAGGAAACTACTGGACATGACTGGTGACCTGAATCTGTGTCAAGTCATCAAAAGCCTCCTCAACAACAGGCGCTTCTACGTCCAGTTAAATGACCAGAGGAGCAAGTGGAAAGCCCAAAAGAACGGCCTCCCACAAGGTAGCGTACTGGCCCCCCTCCTGTTCAACATATACACAAACAACCAGCCATTACCCCCAGAATGCCAGCGTATCATCTACGCAGATGACCTCTGCATCACCACCCAACAAGTAGACCTCCAGAAGATTGAGCCTGTCCTTGAAAGTGCCCTCCAAGAAATGTCAAGCTACTACAATAACAACCACCTGAAACCCAACCCATCAAAAACCCAACTATGCAGCTTCCACCTGAGGAACCGAGACGCTAAAAAAGAACTGAGCGTCACCTGGGATGGCCACAAACTGTCCAACCATACGCATCCCATGTATCTTGGTGTTACACTGGATAGGACACTCTCCTTCAAGAAACACCTGGAGAACACCAAAGCCAAGATCAACACCCGCAACAACATCCTGCGCAAACTAGTGAACTCCAAGTGGGGCGCAGATCCACCAACAATCCGTGCAACTGCCATGGCCCTGTGTTTCTCTACAGCAGAGTATGCCTGCTCAAGCTGGAGCCAATCACGTCACACCAAACTGGTCGACACAGCCTTGAATGACACCTGCCGCATCATCACGGGATGCGTTAAGACAACACCTGTCCCGTGCCTCTATGCGCTAGCCGGCATCTCTCCCCCACACATCAGACGACTGGGTATCGCTCAAGATGAACGGAGAACACAGGAGACAGACATCAGACACCCCTTGCATGGCCACGTAGCACCCCCACGCAGGCTCCGATCCAGAGCCAGTTTTGTGCAGACAGTCCTGCCCCTCCAGACAACCAAACAAGCAGCAAGGACCAACATCTGGGAAGATGAATGGCAAATACATGACACACGAGCTCTTGAATGGCTGGACAGAGGAATCACACCAACGGAAAGCCTCGGTAGTGGCCACGACCTTGGCTGGACTACCTGGAAGTCACTTAATAGACTGCGTGTGGAACAGGGGAGGTGCAAAGCACTGATGAAAGTGTGGAACTACACCACAGAAGACACTTACTGGAATGTGCCGATGCCCCCCGGTGCAGTCCAGAAGACCTGGCAGAACCTACCCCATCAGCTGTGACATGTGCCCGATACTGGCAGAACGACATCTGAGATTGCTACGGACTCGAAGAAGAAGATGAACAGGAGGCCTACTAAGTAGGAGTTTCTACTTAGGAAAACACTGCTGTCTGTTTTAATACACACTTCAGAAAACAATGCCTGGAAGAAGACCAGATGACACTCTGAGCCAATGAGAGTTCATACAAGAGTAGAGACCCAGCGCCCTGACGGATCTAAAGAGGCTGCATGTGTACGGCCTCTTACCTCGTACAGAGCTGTTCTGACTGGCTGTCTGCAGGCCAGCTCTGGTTCTGGATCTTTCTCCACACTGGGGACAGCAGGAGTCTCCTGATGGAGGTCTCTGCTCCCAGTATGAGGTGATGCACTGTCTGCAGAACCAGTGTCCACAGCTGGTAGAGATTGGATCCTTCAGGACGTCCTGACACAGAGCACAGCTGGACAGCTGCTCCTCCACAGGAACACCACTCTTCCTCTTCCCTCTGTGGAGATGAACACATTCTTTATAGCACTTTACATTAGTGGAGCTGATTCTCACCAAAGGTACAACAAGGTGGCACATTCTAGTTTAACATTTAAAAAGGTCTATATCTCGATATAATATATCTTAGTGATCAGGTAGATAGTTTACACTTCACATTATTATAAAAGCAAACCTCATCCTGTCTGGATTCATCACCCAGAGGAGCACATGTTCCCTGTCTCTACTAGACACACACAGCTGTATTAACCTGGTGCACTATAGCATTATAAACACAATTCACATAGAACTTCCTGTGAATTAATTACAATAAACATATGGAAAGGATGCTGAAATAACAACATGATAGTGAGAGGCGTGTGGCGCAGTGGATAGAGCCTTGGTGTAGGTTCAAACCCCACTGCAGTCAACATGTCGTTGTGTCCCTGAGACACTTCACCCCAAAGTGCTCCTGTGGGGATTGTCCACAGTATTGAGTATGTAAGTCACTTTGGATAAAAGCATCTAACAAGTAACATGTAATGTAATGTAGTGATTCGTAAAAAGCCTGAGTTAATGCTTTGTCAGCTCTGTCTCCAACACAATGAGCATAAAAACATTTTAAATGTTTTCTCAACTGGTTTGATTAAAGCTAGGCTAACACTGCTAAATAAAGATTTTCTAGTCGACCAATAGTCGTCAATTAAGGCGATTAGTCGACTAATCGTCGCACGTTTATGATACATTATGATTATAAATATATATATTTTCTTATTCTTTTTTTCTTAAAATGGTTTCAGTTTCAAAGGCTGATAAAGAGCGTTATTATAACAGCATGGTACGTTGTGCTTCTCATAAAATGTAAAATAAAACTGTAATAATGAACCTTGAAATATAAATTAAATGTAGAGAGCATGAGAGTCAAAGCACACGGACGCAGCGGTGTAAACAGCAGAAGCTCCGGTAAGGATTCTTATTTTGTGTGTGTGTGTGTGTGTGTGTGTGTGTGTGTGTGTGTGTGTGTGTGTGTGTGTGTGTGTGTGTGTATGTGTGTGTATGTGTGTGTGTGTATGTGTGTGTGTGTGTGTGTGTGTGTGTGGACAAGCAGAGAGGACATTTAGTTTTTAGTCTTTAGTTTAGTTTTCGGAATATAACAACCCAATAAATACGACAGAGGAAACGGAAACACTGAAAATATGAGCGTCGGCAAAAAGCCCTCATCTTGAAATTAAAGCTTTATGGTTTCCTGAGGTCAGAATGATTATATATTATAGGTCTATATATGTTGATACTTGCTGCCTGACTCTCTGCAGCTGTTTTCCTCCGAGTCTGAGAAAGTAACTCACGTTGCGGGATAATGAAGCTCTGTGTTGTTAAGAAGCCGGCATTCAGGAAGCTGCGCTCTGATGGCGTGGAAATAGAGGAGACTTGTTGTCGTCGTAGTCTGCATGTCACCTTGTGGGACTCGTCCTTTACTCGCTCAGAAAGATCCACACTTTAGATGTCCTGCCCGACCAAATTAACTTAATGACCAGGCTCCACTCTGAATGAAGTCTGAGGGTTTCCGGCTGACGCGTATGGAGCTTTTTTTTTTTTTCTTTATAGTCATTTTTTTGTTCAACTAATCGACTAAGGAAAAATGGCTCGATTAAGACCTAATTAGTCGACTAGTGATTCATTGACTATTTGGGGGCAGCCTTAATTGTTAGTACCATAGACAGTCTCTGGTTCAAACAGGTATCTAAGAAGATTAGTTGAATAATCGCCTGAAATGACGACTATCGGTCAACTACAATAATCTTTATTCATGGGCAGCCCTACACATGATAATAAAGAACAGTTTAAATGATCAGGTTATTTAAAAACTGAATCCTCTTCAGGGGCCTTTTTATAAAGCCTTGCGTAGGATTGATGTAGGAAGGTTGCTTACGTAGTACAAAGCAAAAAAATAGGTACATAAATGTTCCGACATTTTCCGATTCACAAAACATTTTGCGTACGGCACTTCCTACGCCTGTTTCCCTTTATAAATCACAATCGACTCGTAACGCCCATATTTGCCTATACATAGTCAAAGAAACGCCCATTCATTCATTCATTTTGACTGACTGCATGAAGAAGATCGCAGGAAATTACAACAGAACAGCTAAAAAAGACATCTCACACCGTGTCAGATTTTGGTTATTGTGGGGAGGTCGAGATAAATCATATTGTTTGGTGGATGCAGTTTGAACCAGAGTAGCAGCATGGAGGTCGGATCGTCACCAACATAAATAAATAAGTGGTCCGAAAAAGGTTAATGACAAAAATAATACACATAACCTTCCTCAGGCAGTGTGTTTGTCCCGGGGACAGGAGACACCCCCCCTTGATGAGAAACTGTAAGAAATGATGGGGGAATCCCTCCGGAGTGGAGTCATGACGACTGGATCTGAATTATTTTGTTGTATTTGGGTGGTTTGTGTTCCAGCTGTCGATCAGCAACTATATATCCATAATCCACCAGTTAAAGGAAATACAATGTGTTGTGTTATATTAGCTGTACAATTTACCACATATGGTGTTCTTAGTTTCCATACCTCATGTGTTTTACGAGCGACTTATCAAGTCTTGGCAAACGGCATAAAACACGATTAAACGTGATAGTATATAAAACCATGCTCGTATCTACAACCTATAGAAATGCAAAACGGCGTCAGTTAAAAGTAATTATATCCTTCCGTTTACCTCATCCTTTATGAGAATACATTTCTTAACAAGTGAACATAATCGAGGGGTGATCAATAACATTTCGGTATTTATTTATTTCTCCAAGTTATGTTTTTGTGTGCACTGAGGAGTCTCAAACAGGCGTTTGTTTAATCATTTTAAGATTGGCTTTAATCAATGTTTGAAAGTGAATTCTTCATATTTGATAAATGAGAGGTAACATTTTATTTATGGTATTATTTCCACATATGTATCTCCCGTTGTTGTGCTTATTGCGTACGCATGGGTTAGAGTTTGCGTGGAGGACAGCACATTTCCCCATCAAGTTAATATTTTATAAATCGCAAACATTGCGTAGAAACTGGCGTACGCAATTTTTTGAGCGTATATCCCTTTATAAATGAGGCCCCAGGTCAGTTTACAGTAGAAACTCTTACTTTGTGTCTGAGGGTCCAGGTTCATTACTGAAGTCTGGAGGGTCCTCTTTAGACCGCTCACTCTTTAGAGACAGACAGCTGGAGACTGGAGATTTATCCTCTTCCTCATCTGTTAAATCACTCATCTTCTCCCGTCTGAAAGATAAACCAACCACACACACACACACACACACACACACACACACACACACACACACACACACACACACACACACACACACACACACACACACACACACACACACACACACACACACACTTGTTTCAATCATAAAATGATAAACTTGGTTAAAAGTTAAAACACATTAAATGAGTCAGACTTCAGACAGGCCGCTCTCCTGTCACATGTTATGAAACTCTGAAGGCTCAAAAACCAGGAAATAAAAAAAGTTCACAACATTTGAAGAGTTCTCATTGGACTCTAGGAAATATATATATTTATGACACATTATGTTCTGACATCCAGTATAACAGAGTAAATAGTGTGTTAAAAAGCAGATCCTGGTGTTAACACTCACCCTGTTGTTCTCCTGCTCTGTCGAAGTGTAAAATGGCATCTGGCAGTCTGACTTCCTATTTTCAACCGTCCTCCCTGTCTGCAGTTCCTCCCTTTGTTTCATTACCAGCTGAACAGGTTCATGTTCAACCCTTTATGGAACCTTCCCTGGTGGTAGTTGATCTATTATATCAATAATGAGTTTAGTATCTATAGTGTCTAAATCTCTAAGGTACCCCAAACTCAAAATGAACAATAAAGGTTAACTCTAATTCTAGGTTTGTTTAGGATATTGGTTTAGCAAACTCTATAAACAAGTTAAGACCTGCAGCCAACACAATGACACACAGGACCACAACTTAGGAACATGGAAAATAATTGTGTATTCTTATATCAAAACATGTAGATCAGAGAAAATACAATTACTTACAGAATGTATGAAATAGAAGTGAAATAAAATGTATTGAAATGTTTCTGATAAAGGAAGAATAAAATGCTTTCAAAATTAATCACAGATCTGTTTACAATGTTCAAAATAAAACTCCAAAGAAAGGTGTTTTTTAACCCGTCCCTACCTTCCTGTGGATCAACATCCACATATCATCCATAGGAGACACAACATCCACATATCAAAACAATGCGATTAATCACGTGTGTATATCAGTATGTAGTGTCTCTACTTTAAAGAGTCCTCTCCTGCTGATGTTCAGGTGTATATCAGTATGTAGTGTCTCTACTTTAAAGAGTCCTCTCCTGCTGATGTTCAGGTGTATATCAGTATGTAGTGTCTCTACTTTAAAGAGTCCTCTCCTGCTGATGTTCAGGTGTATATCAGTATGTAGTGTCTCTACTTTAAAGAGTCCTCTCCTGCTGATGTTCAGGTGTATATCAGTATGTAGTGTCTCTACTTTAAAGAGTCCTCTCCTGCTGATGTTCAGGTGTATATCAGTATGTAGTGTCTCTACTTTAAAGAGTCCTCTCCTGCTGATGTTCAGGTGTATATCAGTGTGTAGTGTCTCTACTTTAAAGAGTCCTCTCCTGCTGATGTTCAGGTGTATATCAGTATGTAGTGTCTCTACTTTAAAGAGTCCTCTCCTGCTGATGTTCAGGTGTATATCAGTATGTAGTGTGTCTACTTTAAAGAGTCCTCTCCTGCTGATGTCCAGGTGTATATCAGTATGTAGTGTCTCTACTTTAAAGAGTCCTCTCCTGCTGATGTTCAGGTGTATATCAGTATGTAGTGTCTCTACTTTAAAGAGTCCTCTCCTGCTGATGTTCAGGTGTATATCAGTATGTAGTGGTCTACTTTAAAGAGTCCTCTCCTGCTGATGTCCAGGTGTATATCAGTATGTAGTGTCTCTACTTTAAAGAGTCCTCTCCTGCTGATGTTCAGGTGTATATCAGTATGTAGTGTCTCTACTTTAAAGAGTCCTCTCCTGCTGATGATCAGGTGTATATCAGTATGTAGTGTTTCTACTTTAAAGAGTCCTCTCCTGCTGATGTTCAGGTGTATATCAGTATGTAGTGTCTCTACTTTAAAGAGTCCTCTCCTGCTGATGTTCAGGTGTATATCAGTATGTAGTGTGTCTACTTTAAAGAGTCCTCTCCTGCTGATGTCCAGGTGTATATCAGTATGTAGTGTCTCTACTTTAAAGAGTCCTCTCCTGCTGATGTTCAGGTGTATATCAGTATGTAGTGTCTCTACTTTAAAGAGTCCTCTCCTGCTGATGTTCAGGTGTTTATCAGTATGTAGTGTCTCTACTTTAAAGAGTCCTCTCCTGCTGATGTTCAGGTGTTTATCAGTATGTAGTGTCTCTACTTTAAAGAGTCCTCTCCTGCTGATGTTCAGGTGTTTATCAGTATGTAGTGTCTCTACTGCAGCACCTCTTTTCACCCTCTGTCTGCAACCAGAGCCCAGTCTGCTCTGATTGGTTAGCTGGTCGGCTTTGTTGTGATTGGTCGACCGCTCAAAGATGTCCCGCCCCTTAGCCTCTCACATACCTATGTGTTGGAGCGCTCGATTCCATAATGATGTCACTTTGTCCCGTAAGTAATCAAAGGAGTCCAATGGAAGCGTTTCAGGCGGGGGGGAGGGGGATTTACACTGGGATTTTAGCCTCTGCAGACCATTGACATGCACTAAAACCTATAGAACACACTACAGGGGAGGGAGCACCACAGAAAGCAGAATAGGGCCTCTTTAAGTAAGTGTATTTAAGGTTTTACTCAAATTAAATTACTTTTATTTGAATGTGTTTGTTCATGCTGAGTGACATGTCTGCTACCCACGTGTTATAAAGTTGATGTTTTTTAAAGTACTTCTTGATATTGTTTCCTCCTGCTTAGTACATGTAGTGTTGTGTTGTTGTTGTTGTTGTGTTTGTTGGCCCCTTTGTGCAGCCTGTGGTGACATCTTGTGTTGCCGCTGATCCTTTTATCTGCTCAGCTGCTTAGGGAGGATTACAGCTTCCTGCAGAGTGGAGGAGGAGAGAGGAGACGAGGAAGCATCTCCTAAAGGAAAGAAGGCCAGCGTCAGAGAGCACGCTCTACAGCTAAGGTTTGTGTCTCTATCTGCTGTCTTAAGGAGTTTCCTGTCTCACGGAGACGTCTCTGGCTGCGTGTCGAGGTAGAGTTCTCTTCAGAGTTAGATTACAGTCTAAAACCTTAAATATAACATGGAAAATGCGTAAAAATACATCTTAGTGTCTGGGAAACCTCCTGAAATGCATTTATTTGGAGCTTTATTTTAGCATTTAGGGTTATATTAGTGTTGGTTTACTTGGTTAATGTATTGCTGTATTGTAAATATGTATTTAAATATAAGAAAGTGCATAAATGTGTTCATCCATTCAATGTGGCATCTGCTATAATGGGGTTAATGTATGATATTACTTAATAATACAATACACTATATAATATATGATATGATAATTACATTTTAATTTGATTAATTTCTTATTTCATAGTTTCTCTTCATTATTATAACAGTTCTGTTTCATATGAGTGTTGAGAGCTGTATCCATAAATCTCTTAATTTTGCCCTCAAAGTGCACCAGATTGATGCATTTAACTTCAATAAAATAGAAAATATATACAGTATATATTTGTAATGTAAAGAGTTTCCTGTCTCACGGAGACGTCTCTGGCTGCGTGTCGAGGTAGAGTTAGATTACAGTCTAAAACCTTAATATCAACGAGCTTAAAGACTCCCAACAGGAACATATGGAGGGTTTAGAATACCAAAGGAAAGGAAGTGAGTGTGTATGCATTAGCTTTGCCACAGTTAAATGAACAATGTGTTAAAAAGACATCTTAATAAAGGCGTCTTAACTTGCTGAATGTCTGGGAAACCTCCTGAAATGCATTTACTTGGAGCTTTATTTGAGTATTTAGGGTTAGATTAGTGTTTGTTTACTTGGTTAATGTATTGATGTATTTTAAATATGTATTTAAAGGTAAGATTGATGTCTTTATAGATTGATGTCATGTGTCTTTATCTGCTTTCTTAAAGAGTTTCCTGTCTCACGGAGACGTCTCTGGCTGCGTGTCGAGGTAGAGTTCTCTTCAGAGTTAGATTACAGTCTAAAACCTTAATATCAATGAGCTTAAAGACAGGAACATATGGAGGGTTTAGAATACCAAAGGAAAGGAAGTGAGTGTATATGCATTAGCTTTGCCACAGTTAAATGAACAATGTGTTTAAAAGACATCTTAATACAGACATCTTAATAAAGGCGTCTTAATAAAGGCGTCTTAATAAAGGCTGAATGTCTGGGAAACTTCCTGAAATGCATTTACTTGGAGCTTTATTTGAGTATTGAGGGTTAGATTAGTGTTTCTCAAACGGTTTCATACCAAGGACCTCTTAACCAATGAAAAGCACACACGGATCACCTGACTCCCCAAACATCCAGAAACACACGGCCTGCTTTCCACTCCTAAGTTTATAACACATCACAGCCTAACAATGACAATAATTCTCTTTATCGTTCACACATTAAATCAACAATACAAATACAGCTACAGATTCTACAAGCATGTGATTTAAAATGCTCTCAGGTTTTACACCTCTTATGAAATGTAGACTACATTTATTACGGAGTTTATGTCCGAGGCAACTCAGCTGACTCACAGATCGTTTTACTGAGAGAAATGCCAAATAAAATGCATGTAGTTCGACTGCACGACATTAACCTCTGCTGTTAAGTTCATTATTTACACGGTTCCATTTATTTAGCATTGTTTACGCACTCATTGACTGCGTGGCTCTGTTGCTCCGATACTACTCATTTTTAAACAATTTGAGAAACACTTTGAATTTGTAATTTATTTATTTCAAATGTGAAATGTTACCAATATACTCACGGACCACTAGGGGTCGCTCACGGACCACACTTTGAGAAACACTGGGTTAGATTAGTGTTGGTTTATCTGGTTGGTGTTGTATATGTATTGTTGTATTGTAAATATGTATATCAATATAAGAAAGTCCAATAAAACAGAACATTTATACAGTATATATTTATAATATTAACCTGAACATGAGCTGGATATATAATAATAATAATAATAATAATAATAATAATAATAATAATAATAATAATAATAATAATAATAATAATAATACATTTCATTTAGAAAGCACACTTTAAAAACAACGTCTTCTCTATCTTCACCATGCTACGAGGAGAAAATACAGTAAGATCAAAAGTGATCTAAGGAGCTTATTGAATAATAATATGACATATAGAATAATATATGAATATATATATATTGTAGTAATAATGATATCATCTATTTATAATTGTATATTGTATGTAGAAATATATTTAGGGGGTGGGATTAAATAAGTTTGTACGGTTTCATCATTCTCATGTTTCATTTCATTATTATTATAATTTTGTTGTATCGTTGTGTTACATGTTTTTCATAGACATACTATAGAAGGTTTCTCATTTCTCTAATTTCCCCTCCTCGACTCCTCCACTCCTCGACTCCTCCACTCCTCCACTCCTCGACTCCTCGACTCCTCGACTCCTTGACTCCTTGACTCCTCTGTCCTGCCGGTAGTGACCCTGATATGGATGTCAGCGCGCCATGTTGAAGGACATCTCATTTCTCTAACCGCCTGCTGCTTCCCCTCCTCTCTCCTCGGTTCCCCTCCTCGACTCCTCCGCTCGCATCTCCTGAGGAACTAAGACACGAGGATAGAAATCGAGGATAGGAGTCGAGGATAGGAGTCGAGGATAGGAGTCGAGGATAGGAGTCGAGGATAGGAGTCAAGGATAGGAGTCACGGAGGCGAGTCAAGGATAGGAGTCGAGGATAGGATAGGAGTCGAGGATAGGAGTCGAGGATAGGAGTCACGGAGGGGAGTTAGAGAAATGAGAAAGCTTCATAGTCACAAAGTGCTTGACAAAAACATTAAAACATCGTAGGAATCATAAAATAATAAATGACCCTACAAGCCACGTGTTAAGAAGAGCTAAAAACACAATAAAAACACAATCAAACATAGGATAGGATGAGAACACACAGGTAACCCAAACGGTAAAAGGTTAGATTAAAAAAGAATGCATCCTCTTCCCCTGCAGATGATGGAGCAGCGTGATCAGGTGGAGCTCCTCCTCCTCCTCCTGCTGGGGGGGGGGTGTTGGCTGGGTGAGGCTCAGGTGCGTCACCCGCTCCCCGTGCTGTGGATGATGGGGGCGGGGGGGGGAAACATGACCCCTGCTGTGCGCCTCGCTCTGAACGACCTGGAGAGACAGCCCCCCCCCCTGGGAGACTACGAGCTGCAGCTGCACCCGCTCCACCCTCAGGTCAGAGTCACCTCCTCCTCTTTCATTTTGATAAGATAACATTTGTTTTCATTATGTTCTTTTTTTTCATGCATAAAGATCCTTAGTTTGTTGTAATGCACGAAGGAGTTAATAAATCACACGCTGATGGAACAACACTATATTGTTATTATTTAAAGTGGACCTATCATGCTATATTTGAATAATATAGTGTAGGGCATGGGTCGGCAACAGGCGGCCCGCGGGCCATTGTTGGCCCGCCAGCAATAATATTTGGCCCGTAATTTTGAGAATAAAAAATAAAAAAATATTTTGAGATTTTTTTTTTTTTTTTTTTTTTACAACATAGGACCGACAGTCGCACATATAGGCTATAATGTCCGAATAGAGAATCTACCTACACCTGAAGAATGCTTATTGTACTTTTATCTATGTTGAGAATGAATGACATACAGCACAGGCACAATCAGGCAGCGGGGTGCACTGACGTCAATTAAAGTACTTATTTAAAGGACACCTATCATGCTATATTTAAATGATATATTGTAGGGCCATACCTATATAAGGTATATTTATACGTTTCTGTTTTCAAAATACCAAACAGAGCATGCATTTTAGCCATGCCTCATTTCACTCTATTTGCTGTTCTCCAGCCCTGTTTTTGCAGGGGGCTGATACTGTGAGCTGCAGCTGACCACGCCCCCCTGCAGGAGAGAGGAGCGTGCTCTGATCAAGTCAGAAGAGGGGGAGAAAAAGAGATCTCCGTCCTCCGTGTTTTATTCTTATATTATTATATAGAGTCGTTATTCATTTGTTTTAAAGCTCAATAAATAACAAAGAAGACCTTTGACCGGCACTTTTCTAATTTTGTCCGGAAGATTTAAACTTTAACGGACATCTTGACCGGCGAAAGAAAACCTAACTGAAACTCTGCCGCACGGTCCCCTCGTTCCTTGGAAGAGGCGGAGAGGTGGGTGTTTGTCATCTGCTGGTGGACTAACCGGAGAGAATTACAGTGCTTGCCTCGGGGAGGGAGAACAAAAGCCACAGCGGAGAATAAACAGAAGGGTAGTCATTGGCAACCATGCGCGGGAAGTCTTCTTCGCTGCTTTTGTGGTAGACTACAGCGCCACTTACAGGCCTGGCATATGTACTACAGCGTCTCCAGCGCTTTCGAGCGGCAATGGCCGGCCGTGGCCCAACCCCAGATTCCCCAATAGCCGTAGCGCCACCGTCCTGACGTCAGGACAGTGTTCAAATCTGGATCAGTTTTTATCAAATCCGTTGCAGCCCCTTTTTTAGAGATTTGGGTATGGAGGAAAATAGAGAGGGTTGTGTTTTCTGACACTTGGTGAGTTCCCTGGAACACCGGGGACACATATTCATGTATAAAAGACGTACACAAGTGCATTTTGCATGATAGGTCCCCTTTAAGTATTAAATACATTGAGTTTGAGTAAAATACTTGGTTACTGATTAATTTAGGTTATAATATATTAAATAAATTGCAAAGCAAAACATGCTGTAATTTATTTATTTTGTATTTTTTTAAAGGTTTTCAACCTGAAAGAATCCTAACGTGTCCTTGAAAAGTTGAAATAAAGAAAAGGAAAAAGGATTCCAGTTGTCCATGCGTCCTCTGTTGCCCCTCAAGCCTCTCAAATGTGGTCAAATAAATGCCAAAAACCCAGAGAACTTGACAATACTTATCAGAATAAAAGTATGTTAAATAACACTGCTACCTAGTTAATAACTCACTCAGTGGAGGCTCGTCCATTGAAGAAAGGGAGGACCATCCTCCCTAAAATTTCAGAAAAAAATAAACTTTGAAGAGAACAATAAATGCACCTCAATTTAAAAGATAAGTCTGTTAAAATACAGATAATAGCCCTGACTTTTAACATGGGACTGAAATGGGGCTAGAGACGACGAGCCTCCCTTTGGGCGGGTCTATCCAGAGGCTCTGGATTGGGCGCCTATATCATCAGTGAACCAATCAGCGGATCTGACTGCGCATCAGAGTGTTGATGGGGAGGGTTATCAGCGATATCAGAGTTTTTTCTGAACCGGGGAACAGGGGCGCTGCGCCCTGTTACCAAAATCAATTCCTTGAATTAGGCTTTGATTATGTTCTGACCCGCCATCTTGTGGCTCAGCAAAAAATTGGCCCACGGCCAAACTTACTTGCCTACCCCTGGTGTAGGGCCATACCTATATAAGGCATATTTATACTTTTTTTTTTTAAATACCAAACAGATCATGCATTTTAGCCATGCCTCATTTCGCTCAATTTGACATTTTTTAGCTCTGTTTTTGCAAGGGCAGATTCAGTGAGAACAGCGCCACCTACAGGCCTGGCATATGTACTACAGCGTCTCCAGCGCTTTCGAACGGCAATGGCCGTGGCTGTCTCCTCCTGATTGGTGGAGTTGGCCCAATAGCCGTAGCGCCACCGTCCTGACGTCAGGAAAGTGTTCAAATCTGGATCAGTTTTTATCAGATCCGTTGCAGCCCCTTTTTTAGAGATTTGGGTATGGAGGAAAATAGAGAGGGTTGTGATTTCTGACACTTGGTGAGTTCCCTGGAACACCGGGGACACATATTCATGTATAAAAGACGTACACAAGTGCATTTTGCATGATAGGTCCCCTTTAAGTAGGCGTTTTCTATCAAAAAATGTTCGGGGTCGGTCAGGGGGGTACTTGGCTGAGAAAATGTTTCAAAGGGGCTACATTACTGACAACAGTTTGAGAAGCACTGATATATACTATATCATATATACTATATCATATATTATATATACTATATACTATATCATATATGGTATAGACAGTCTCTGTAGAAGCTTTTAAACTACTGAAGACCATCTTTTCATATTGGCTTTTGTTACTTGTGTGTGTTCTGTTCTGGTGTTTGTTTCTTTCAGGACGCCACATGCTCTGTGTTTTGTTTTGATGTTAACCTTAATGTCTGCCTCGTGTTGTTATTGTATTCATGTTTCTGTGGTCTTCATTTGAACTGTTGTTCTTTCTTGTGAAGCACTTTGTGGATTATATCTCTGTGAAAGGTGCTATACTAAATAAACGTGTTATTGTTCATCCCACAGTGTGATTCTGGCGAGTCTCTCAAAGCTCTGTTTGACTCTCTGTGGGGGGGGGCCTCGCTTCCTGCTGCTGCTGGGGGGGGCGTCCTGCCCCTCAGTGACGGGGACCATCGCTCGCGCTCTGCCAGCTCTGCACCTGCTGCAGGTAACACTCAGCGAGTCAAACCCGTGTTATTCTTCGTAAGGAGTCGCAGGTTTTTCCTCCAGGCATTAAGTCCTGAAATGAGACACTGGTTCATTCAACTGACCTTTCAGAAAAAGGGTTTCTAGGAAATGAAATACTTTGAACTGAAAGAAGTTAAATCTCTCGCCCAAGCCCCCAGGAAGTGCTCCGGACTCTGAGGAAAATATTCCTAGTGTCCAAACGGCGGTACTACAACCTCCGTATCAGTCCGTGACGTCACCCGGCCCAGAAATACTTTTTCCCATTGACTAACAGGGAGAAAGAGACGTCTGTAAATCAGAGGATACTTTTTTTAAACTAAATAAAGTACCCAGTATGAACTATCTTATAGCCCTTATTAGAATCATTAGGTCCTTAAAGTTGTAAAATGCACTAAAAGCTGAATCCAGATTTATTTTCTCTCTCCATTCATTCTACTGAGCTGAGAGTGGGAGATCGGGGGCGGGGCTTAACGACAGGAGGCGGGGCTTAATGGCAGGAGGCGGGGCTTAAGGTGAAACTCAACTGCGCTCTATGAGCTACATACGGGTACTTCTGCTCTCATGATGGGTAATCTGTGACGTTTTGCTCTAGAGAATCTCAGGCCATTTTGTCCTCATGAGCCAATGAGCATCCATGGTAACAATCAGCAGGATCAACATATTCACTTCCTGCGCTTCACTTCCTGTCCTTCACTTCCTGTCCTTCACTTCACAATATCTTATTATTTACTGTTGAAATCAGATACTCACACCTGCGCTTCACTTCCTGTCCTCAGGTATCCTTCTCGGCCCCGCCCCCCCCTCTTGTCCAACAGGAAGTGGTACGGCACGTTTAGCACGCTGCCGTCAGACCGCGCTGTGAACCAGGCGGCCGTGAAGCTGCTGCAGCGCTACAGGTGTGTTTGTTTGTTTGTTTGTTTGTTTGTTTGTTCACCATGTAAAGCGGCATTGGGTCCCTTGGAAGGCGCTATACAAATGTAATCTATTATTATTATTATTATTATTATTATTACAGGTGGAGCCGGGTGGGGGTCCTCACTCAGGAGGGGGCCCAGCGCTCAGAGGTGAACTAACATGTGGGAAATGATTTGTTGTCAGGGATTACTGTCCCATCAATCCAACCTATGTCTCACTCCCTTTCCCCCACACACTTGGTGTATGTTGTCCCTGTGTGTCAGATGAGGAGGGATCTGGCGCGGCAGCTGCTGAAGGCCGATGTCCACGTCGTTTCCTCCGAGAGCTTCTCTGCAGACGCCTGCAGCAGCCTCAGGAAGATCAGGGTAACAGAGGACGGTTTAATATATGTTATTTATATTTAACTAGGTCCCTTTGAGCTAAGCATGCACACATATTAGCCATTATTAGAATAGGAGCAATGTATGAATACTATATATATTTAAACAGAATCTTACAAAATGAACTTGCAGCACTACTCAGTCTCCTCTACGGTGGTCGACAGGTGCAAACACGCTTTCCAAACCTCTTCCATCAGGAGCTGCAGCTTCAGAAAGGATGCAGATATAAAAACCCAAAGGTTCCACATGAAGAAACCTCTTCAGCAACAACACATGCAGCGTTTAGAGAACATTCAGCAACTTGAGGAGACATGCGCAGCGTTTACTAAAAGCTGCAGAAACCAAACGCTGCAGATACAAAACGCTGACCTCTAACCCATCAGAGCCCCTTGCTTCCACTACTGCTATTTATCTATTTTATTATTTTCCCTTCTTGTTTGTTTGTTCACCATGTAAAGCAGTCTTGGGTCCCTTGGGTAATCTATTATTATTATTATTATTATTATTATTATTATTATTATTATTATTATTATTATTATTATTATTATATTTATCATTATTAAAGTGGACCTATCATGCTATATTTGAATAATATAGTGTAGGACCATACCTATAAAAGGCATATTTATACTTTTTTCTTTTCAAAATACCAAACAGATCATGCATTTTAGCCATGCCTCATTTCGCTCAATTTGACATTTTTTAGCTCTGGGCAGATTCTGTGAGAACAGCACCACCTACAGGCCTGGCATATGTACTACAGCGTCTCCAGCGCTTTCGAACGGCAATGGCCGTGGCTGTCTCCTCCTGATTGGTGGAGTTGGCCCAATAGCCGTAGCGCCACCGTCCTGACGTCAGGACAGTGTTCAAATCTGGATCAGTTTTTATCAGATCCGTTGCAGCCCCTTTTTTAGAGATTTGGGTATGGAGGAAAATAGAGAGGGTTGTGTTTTCTGACACTTGGTGAGTTCCCTGGAACACCGGGGACACATATTCATGTAGAAAAGACGTACAAAAGTGCATTTTGCATGATAGGTCCCCTTTAAATACAAAACTCTGATTAAAGTAAAAAAATAAGTTGCCCAAAAGAAAGTTGAAAAAAAGCTATCTACTTGCTTTTTGACCAATTTACCTCAGAGTTTAGGAACAACAAAACACAAAGTCCTTGGACAGTTCAACTCTAAAACACACGATAAATGTGCAGCACGTTGGCACCATGGACTGTATATATAAAGGTTGGCACGTGGAGAGTCTGAACTAAATTCAGAGTAAATGTAAATGTGTTCTGCAGGAGAGCGACGCCCGTACCTGTACCACACACCTGTAACACACACCTCTAACACACACCTGTACCACACACCTGTAACACACACCTGTTTGATAATCGTGTCCGTGTCTCTAGACTCCTCAGCAGTTCCTGCGCCTGATGACCTTGGAGGGGTCAAAGGTCGAGCCCCTGCACGGCTACGCCTACGACTCTGTGTGGGCAGCGGCCATTGCCCTGACGCAGGTGATGGAGGCGGTGAAGCTGCGAGAGAAATACGGCGTCCAGAAGAACACGAGCGAGGAGGAACTGCAGATGAAGCTGCTGGAAGCCCTGAAACACACACACTTCCAGGGAGTCACTGTGAGCACACACACACACACACACACACACACACACACACACACACATACCTGAAACACACACACTTCCAGGGAGTCACCGTGAGCACACACACACACACACCTGAAACACACACACTTCCAGGGAGTCACCGTGAGCACACACACACACACCTGAAACACACCTGTTACATACACCTTTAATACACCTGTAACACACACCTGTAACACACACCTGTTGCACACACCTGTAACACACACCTGTTGCACACACCTGTTCCACTCCCACAACACACACCTGAAGCCCATAAACCTCACAGCCATAAATGTCCTGACCACACAGGTAGTTTTTCTCAATACCTGGCCCTCACAAGTACAGCAACACCTGTAACACACACCGGTAAACACACACCTGTAACACACACCTGTAAGACACACCTGTAACACACACCTGTAAGACACACACCTGTAAGACACACCTGTAAGACACACACCTGTAACACACACCTGTAAGACACACACCTGTAAGACACACCTGTAACACACACCTGTAACACACACTTGTAAGACACACACCTGTAAGACACACCTGTAAGACACACCTGTAAGACACACCTGTAACACACACCTGTAAGACACACACCTGTAACACACACCTGTAAGACACACACCTGTAAGACACACACATGTAAGACACACACCTGTAAGACACACTGTAAGACACACTGTAAGACACACCTGTAAGACACACACCTGTAAGACACACCTGTAAGACACACTGTAAGACACACCTGTAAGACACACACCTGTAAGACACACCTGTAAGACACACACCTGTAACACACACCTGTAAGACACACACCTGTAAGACACACCTGTAACACACACCTGTAACACACACTTGTAAGACACACACCTGTAAGACACACACCTGTAAGACACACCTGTAAGACACACCTGTAACACACACTTGTAAGACACACACATGTAACACACACCTGTAAGACACACACCTGTAAGACACACACCTGTAAGACACACACCTGTAAGACACACTGTAAGACACACTGTAAGACACACCTGTAAGACACACACCTGTAAGACACACCTGTAAGACACACTGTAAGACACACCTGTAAGACACACACCTGTAAGACACACCTGTAAGACACACACCTGTAAGACACACTGTAAGACACACCTGTAAGACACACACCTGTAACACACACTTGTAAGACACACACCTGTAACACACACCTGTAAGACACACACCTGTAAGACACACACCTGTAAGACACACACCTGTAAGACACACCTGTAAGACACACCTGTAAGACACACACCTGTAAGACACACACCTGTAAGACACACTGTAAGACACACCTGTAAGACACACACCTGTAACACACACTTGTAAGACACACACCTGTAACACACACCTGTAAGACACACACCTGTAAGACACACACCTGTAAGACACACCTGTAAGACACACACCTGTAAGACACACTGTAAGACACACCTGTAAGACACACCTGTAAGACACACCTGTAAGACACACACCTGTAAGACACACACCTGTAAGACACACCTGTAAGACACACACACCTGTAAGACACACCTGTAAGACACACACCTGCTTCTTTATGAATCTATATTTCAGGGTCCGGTTTTCTTCCGGAACGGGGAGCGGATGGCGTCGATCGAGCTGCTTCAGTTTCAAGGTGAGTCACTTGATCAAAACAACTAAAAGGACCAGATCTCAGGTGTATATTGTAGGTGTGTTTTATCCCAAATGTTTCAGAGGAATCAACTAGTTTTCAAAACCTTCATTTAAAAAAAGACATTTTTTACAGATGTTACTTATATATAACAAAAACTGTAAACTTAAAAAAAAAAAAAAGTGTATTATCACATTTTCAAAATATCACCTCAGTTTTCAGGAATAACTTCAATTAAAAAAAATATTCCTCATTTTAAAAATGTCGAAAAATTGATAAATCTTATTAAAAAAAGTGACATTTCGAAGACAAAAATAATATCTGAGAAAAAAAGTCTTGTTCTGAGAATAAAATAAAATTTCGAGTAAAAAAGTTAAATTAAAACAAAAAAGTCTAAATCTGAGAAACAACTCTAATTCTTAAGAAAGAAATCTAATTCTGAGAAAAAAGGGAAATTTCGAGTGAAACAACAAAAAAAAATGAAATTCTGAGAAACAGTGAAATTCTGAGAGACCAATAAGTTCTTAGTAAAAAGTTAGTTTTTTAGGAAAACGACCTTATATTTCAATATTCTATATTTTGCATACTTTATATTTTCTAAATAAAAAAATGCTTAATTGATGAAAAGACGATTGATTAGGAGAAAGAAGACGAAGAGAGTTTGATCGTGTTTATTGATCAGCAGGCAGCGGGGGGGTTCTGGTCGGAGACTTCAACACCTCCACCCAGCAGCTCAGAGTGATCAACCACCTGCTCAGGTTCAAAGGTCAGACCCTCTGTTTTGGGCTTTAACGTCCACACACACACACACACACACACACACACACACACACACACACACACACACACACACACACACACACACACACATATAAAGTCTGATGTGTTGTTCAGGCCCGGCAGCAGCCAGAGACCGGACTCTGGTTCTGGAGCAGCGTCTCCACGTCGGCCTGCTGATGTTCGGCATCGTGTCCTCGGCTGCAGCTCTGACCATCATCATCACTCTGACCGCCCTCCTCTTCACCCTCATCCACCGCACACACACGTAACTACACACACACACACACACACACACGCATGCACACACACACAAACACACACACATATACACACACACACACACATGCTCTGACCGGCCTCCTCTTCCCCCTCATCCAGCGCAAACACACATAACTACACACACACACACACACACACACACACACACACACACACACGCGCGCGTGCACACACACACACACACAGACACACACAGACACACACAGACACACACACACACACACACACACACACTCACACACACACGCACACACAGACATTTCAAATTCGGAGAAAAAAACTATTCTCAGAAAAAAATCTAATTCCGAGAAGAAAGTTACATTTCTAGTAAAAAAGTAATATTTTGAAAATATGTCACAATCTGAGAAATGTTGTGTAAATAAAACAAATTCTGACAAAACATCAAAATCTGAAAAAAAGTTAAAAAAATCGAATTCTTAAAATAAAATAAAATACTGAGAAAAAAGAGTTTATTTCACCAACTTTGTCTGTAGATTTCCTCTAAATTCACCAAAACTAGGCCTCCCATAACGCCTCATTTCCATGTGTGACCCTCTTTGGCGACCCTCTTGTTTGATGAATGCAGGTGCTCTGGGTGTCTGGAGGAGCTGCTGCTGCTCGGCCTCCTCCTCTCCTCCTCCTCCGTCATGATCTCCGGGCTGGACGGAGCGTCGCTGTCCCCAGAAGTGTTCCAGACCCTCTGCTCCGTGAGTTATAGAATATCTATTTCACAATAACTCATCTGCAGCAAAGCATCACCGCGTCGTCCTGTGAGAACCAGTATCTTTGAATATTTGACATACAATATATCTTTTGGATTTTTTTACATATTTTACTCTTAATTTTCAGATATTTGTTGGACATTTTTAACTTAACACATAGTATTTTCTTTGGGGGGGGGGAGGGTCTTCATTAAACCTGATGAACTACATGCTGAGGTCTTTTACTTTGAAATGCCACAATTGCCTTTCTAAAGTTACTGAATGATGATAGAAGCTAAACAATGAGACTCTTATTTTGAAATGTCACAAATTAAGATAAAAGCTAAATGAAGACTCTTATTTTGAAATACCACATTTGACTGTCTGAAGTTATTACTTATTCATTTACCAGCTAATGATCAACTCTTACTTTGAAATGCCACATTTGACTGTCTGAAGTTATTACTTATTAATTTACCAGCTAATGATCAACTCTTACTTTGAAATGCCACCTTTACCTGGATGTCTCCCCCTGCAGGTGCGTCTGTGGATCCTCTCTCTGGGACACACGGTGGTCCTCGCGGTGCTCTTCATCAGATCCTGGGGGCTTTACTCCCTGCTCAGCACCAAACCCCCGGTAATCCACAAGATCCATATACGTATGACAAGATTTATCATAACGTTAGTCCTTAACATCTATCACTGTGTATATCACCATTCAAAGATCTTTTAAAAGTTGAACAAACCCCACACAGCTCAGTAAAGACTGTGAAATGTTGACTTTATTTGATCATTTCAGTAAAAACTAACGTTCGTATTTCTCTTTTGATTATAATACTGATGAACGTTCAAAACAAAGCACTTTGGCAACTTACCACATACGTTTTAAAATGCTTAATAAGCACCGTAACTTTCATGATATCATTTCTCGGTCATAATCGGTTGTTTCCGTGAACGGCCGACTGTTGTGTGACGGCAAATGCCGCGGCCGCAAGGCATTGTGGGGCAGCATTTTCTCCTCTCCTTTCGGTTAGGGAGGTCCAGTGGTTCCTAAGCTAAAGGAGGTTATAAAGGAAGTTTGAAACCTCCTTTCATAGTGATGGGAATTACGACTCTTTGAAGGGAGCCGGATCTTATGGCTCCGTTCCTTTCCGAGCGCCGTTCAAAAGAGCCGTTTTGTTTTTTAAGGGGGCGGGGTTAATAGGTTTATCTGCAAAATAATCACCAGGATAATGATTGACTGTATTGCCAGAAATCTACTTTTACTCACAGAAAATGTATAACTTGCTACATCTCTCAGCCAAACTACTACTTAAAGCTCCCATGTCATGCTTTTCCGGTTATTACCCGTCCCCTTGTGTGTTATGAAGGTTTTTATGCATGTAAACGGTGTGCAGAGTCAAAACCCTCAAAGTACACCCTGTAGCGAGTAAAACTCTAACACAGAAAATACCTCCCCAAAACGCCTCGTTGGAGATACGTCACTGCCCATTTGATTCTTCCGGGTACCGCATGATGTCATGCGGTACCCGGAACGAAATGGACCAATCCCGAAGAGCTATGGCCACACCAGCGGCGTGTTCCTCCTCCAGAGGTTCGAAGAACCGGCATTTCACAGACGAAAGCTTCCAAAACATTGCCCAGTTTGAGGCCGGATATGCACAGCTTGTTTGGACCGTTTGGAGCAGGGGAAGATCTGGGTATACAACCTGTAAGTTTGCATTGTTATTTGTGTATTTATCAAACAAGACTGTTTAAATGTGTAAACTGTGTTGGACTGCTAAGCCATTGACACAGTGCTAACTAAGTTGCTAGAGTTTCCATATATCAACTCTAATATCAGCAGATGGCCTTGCATACATGTATCTCATAGCAGGAGAATGTCTGCATTCACACACAAAATACCTATTGACAGTATACTCCGGGTGATTTGCCGGTCAGTCGCGAAACGTAATTACATTATAGCTGGCGTAGCGATCTAACACACGGAGCTAGAGCTAGTTTCGGTCAGAAAAAACATTTTTGTGATGCTACGTTGCTAGCGTTTAAATATATCAACTACAATGTCAGCAGATGGCCTTACATGTTTGTCATGGCAGGAGAATGTCTGCAGTCACACACACGGAATACTCATACAGTATACTGTACTGTGATTTACCGTACATTGTGACCGTACATATACTGCATGTAGCTAACGAGGCTAGCTGTATGCTAGCGCAAAACAATGTATTCATGCAAGTTACATTGTATGGTAGCAGAATACCCGTATACGATTGCAATTATAAACACGTTATTGCTAGCCTAATATGAACCACTAGCTTTTGTTCATAGTAGTTTTATTACACTGCATTATAGTTGCCTTTCCTCCAAGCTAACGTTCATATCGTGTTAGCTACCAAGGTAAACAAAGCTAGGTTAGCATATTAGCAGGCAAGCTGTTCATTACACAACTACTACTAACTAATCTAAAACAACTAAGTTTCTCTAATATTTTGTGATTTGCATTTGATTTCGTCCAGCCAGATCCTGGCGGACAATCCATGACGGGGAAGGGATTCTACTACTACTGAGGGGTGCTAAAAGGCACCGCACCGACTGTGCGCAGGCAAGATGCGAGGAGGAGGAATGAATGATATACCGTGTGTATATATGTATATTTATGTTCATTTTGTACATTTCTAAAAATAAAGTTTAATGGAAATACTTAGTAGGCCTATCCTTTCTTCCCTGAATTCATATATAGCAAACCATGATTTGATTTCTCATCAAACAGTAGTAGTTTATAACGGGTAAAAATAACTTACTCTTTGTTATGAGAGTAGCTCGTAGGCCACAACGGAAAGACAAGGAGACATACACGAGTTTACAAAACCACGGCACATTTATTGTAGTAAATGCAAAGATAGGTGGTTGAGAGGATCGCAGAGTTAGTCTTCCTGCAGCCGCTTTGGAGAGAGACTGTGTCCGGAGGTGTCCGTGATCGTGCTGATTAGCCTCTTCAGCTCCATCCCATCGTAAGACAAAGGCCCTGGGGCCGTCACACTCTTCTATAACAACAGTTAAAAATATATATGTATATAAAATATACCGCTGTACCGACGCCATGATAAGACTGATGTTACGCTGAGAGCAGCCGGGAAAAGCACTGACATGGGCGCAGCCTCTCTGGTGGTTGACTAATCAGAACGAGTGGCCGAGCTGACCAATCGGAGCACACTAGGCTCACAGGGAGGGGGGGGCAAGAGCTCCAACGAGTCGTTTAGTGGAGAAAGTGAATACTGCTGAATACACATGCTTGACAGAGATGCTGTATGTGAAACCAATGTGAGTTTGGAAAATTGCACAGTATAAATCTACTTTAGTATACCTCAACAATGTAATTATGATCAGTGGAAATGGCCATGACATGGGCCCTTTAAGCAGGATGCGCTATGCCATCATCTACGGCAAATTGGCATTCAGGAAAGCAAGTTCCTTTAAAGGCGAGTGGATTTATGGCAGGCAGTGAACCAACGATAAAAAGAACGGCTCTCACCAAGTAGGACTCGGTTCCCTTCGTTCGTATCAAAGAGCCAAGAGTTCAAAAGAATCGGATCGTTAGCTAGACCAGCGGTTCCCAACCTGATGGCATTGCAAGTGGGCCGCCAAATAATTACAGAAACATTATGATTTGTGTGGAAACATTTTCATTATTAAGATTTATTTTATTTGAACCTCTTTTCCTTTGTGTTTTTCGACCCTCCTTAGCAACGGTCATTACAGTCCTTAGCAACGGTCATTACAGTCCTTAGCAACGGTCATTATAGCGGTCTGTTCTGCTGGATTTACAACGTGTCACATTTTTATTTGAACCTCCTTTCCTTTCTCTTTCTTGATCCTCCTTAGCAACGGTCATTACAGTCCTTAGCAACGGTCATTACAGTCCTTAGCAACGGTCATTACAGTCCTTAGCAACGGTCATTATACAGCAGTCTGTTCTGCTGGATTAACAACGTGTCACATGTTTTGAAACGACCAAACAGAACTGTATTCAGTCTCCGTATTGTTTATGGTTGAATGTGGGCCGCAAAAACATTTTTTAGATTCTGACGTGGGCCCTGAGTAGAAAAAGGTTGGGAACCGCTGATCTAGAGAAACAAATGGCTCTTATCATGGATGAGGCACCGCCGGGTCATTTCACTCGTTAGGAAGGTTCCTGAGAGAAACTGACAATTGGACGGCAACCTCTGTGTGTGTTTCAGCATCAGAGGAGGAGGAGCTCTCTCTGCGTGTTGCTCTGCTTCCTCCTGATGGACGCCTTCCTTTTATCCACCTGGCAGATCCTGGACCCCCTCAGACGGGAGGAGCTGCAGTACGGAGAACAGGTAACAAACTCATGAGGGGGGGGTCAGGTTCCTGCAGAGGGAGGGGTTCACAACCCTCAGTTAAATTACAACTAAGAGGTCCTGTTCTTCTTCTGTGGTTCTCCCTCTCCTGTAGAGTTTTCTATAGGTTTCAGTGCATGTCAATGGTCTGCAGAGGCTAATTGTGTTGCAGTAAAAAGTGTCTGAAGATTCAAGATTCAAAGGTTTTATTGTCATATGCTCATAAGCTTCAGTGTAGAGATGGCAATGAAATGATTCTGACCTGAGCTCCTCCAACAACGCAACATATAGAATAAAATACAAAAATACGGGAAAAAAAGGCAGAGTTGGAGAGGAACCAAAGACACGGCAGCCATCATCAGTGGCGTGCGTGTGTGTGTGTGTGTGTGTGTGTGTGTGTGTGTGTGTGTGTGTGTGTGTGTGTGTGTGTGTGTGTGTGTGTGTGTGTGGTGTGTGTGTGTGTGTGTGTGTGTGTGTGTGTGTGTGTGTGTGTGTGTGTGTGTGTGTGTGTGTGTCAGAGTGTGTCTTCAGGGCAGGACATTGTGATCCGACCGTTCTCTGAAACCTGCTCCAGCACCAACATGGAGCTGTGGACCATCGCACTCTGTGGGTACAAAGCTCCTCTGATGGTCAGTTCTCACACACACACACACATACGCACACACACACACACACACACACACACACACACACACACACACACACACACACACACACACACACACACACACACACACACACACACACACACACTCTTATTTGGAATTGACACTAATAAATATATATAAAAGAATTAGACTCTTATTTTGAAAATCCACTTTTGCTTTGCTGATGTTACTAAATGAAGGAAGAATCTAAGTAAAGGCTCTTATTTTTGAAATGCCACAAATTAAGATAAAAGCTAAACAAAGAGACTCTTATTTTGAAATACCACATTTGACTGTCTGAAGTTATTAAATTAATATATAAGCTAATAATCAACTCTTATTTTGAAATGCCACAGTTGCTTGTCGAAAGTTACTAAATGTTGATAGAAGCTAAACAAAGAGACTCTTATTTTGAAATGTAAAGTCTCCTTGTCTAATGTTATTAAATGAAGTCAAAAGCTAAATAAAGACTCTTATTTTGAAATGTCACAAATTAAGATAAAAACTAAATAAAGAGACTCTTATTTTGAAATGTAAAGTCTCAAGTGAATCTACATGTTGTGTCCTGCAGGGTCTGGGCTGTTTCGTGGCGTGGAGCATCAGGAGGTCGGAGGTCATCAGGAGGTCGGAGGTCAGCAGTTTCTCTCTGACGCTCAGCATGTTCTCTCTGACGCTGTTCAGTGTTGCAGGAGCCGCAGCCTCACTGCTCACTACCCACAATCCTTCACTGCACTTCTGTCTGCGCAGCGCCATCATCCTCTGCTGCAACATCTGCATCCTCAGCCTGATGTTCACACCCAAGCTCAGAGTAAGAACATCTTATCGTCATATGTGTGTACTTACCGTATTGACCCGAATATAAGACGACCTTTTTTCAAGACTCATTTTTGGAAAAATACCTTTTTCATTCCGGACCGTGGAATGACTGATTGGGCTCGCCATCTTCTAACGCAGTGACCATCAACTGACACTCTCATCCGGCACGCGCTGTGGCGCTGGCGGAGTGGTTAGTGCGTTCGCCCCCCACTCAATTTTTTTTTACAACGTCTCGTGAGTAATGTGCAGTACCGGAGTCCAACAGAGAGGCAGCAGCCGCGGGACAGTAGCCTGCGTACTGCATAGCCTTCCCTGCCCTGAAGAAGAAGTGATCCTTCGTTAGCTTGAAGAGTCTGCTTTATGCGCTCCGCAGTAGCCCGGCTGCGAGCGAGTTGACAGTACATGAGCATGCTAGCACCCCCCCGTCCCCCGGGGTCAACAACCTCCAACTTCAGGGCTATATATAAAAATCTCTGGCCCCCGAAAGTGTCTCTAGGAATAATTTTGGCCCTCGGACAAATGTAGTTGGTGATCCCTGTTCTAACGTTACTCTCAGTAACTCCATATTTCTGCTCGACAGTTGTTTGATGACTTCGTTGATCACCATTATCTTCAAATTAGCGTCATAACTTCTCCTCTCTTGTTTATTAACTCGTCTACTTTTGATCCACTTTGTTGGAGTTGGTCTGTGCATCTCTCTCTCCTGTTGTACTGTTACTTTAAGATGTACGGTCTTCTTTCCACTATAGTGTGAAAGAAGACGTGTGAGTGGACCTCCTCAGAGGAAGTCCTTTCACATGTTGCCTGTGGATTTTTTTTTTTGTTGCAGTTTTGGAAAGTATGTGTGAAAAACAGCGAGCAGCAGAAGCCTTCAGAGACGCAGATTGAAACTGCAGAAGAAGAAGAAAAAGAAGCTGCAGAAGAAGAAGAAGAAGAAGAAGAAGAAGAAGAAGAAGAAGAAGAAGAAGAGGAGGAAGAGGAGGAGGATAAGAAGCTTCTGATCAGGTTGAACCAGCAGCTGAAGAGTCACACGGCTCAGGTGAGGATGCAGAGACAAATGGTGTGTGTGTGTGTGTGTGTGTGTGTGTGTGTGTGTGTGTGTGTGTGTGTGTGTGTGTGTGTGTGTGTGTGTGTGTGTGTGTGTGTGTGTGTGTGTGTGTGTGTGTGTGTGTGTGTGTGTGTGTGTGTGTGTGTGTGGAGGTCCCCATAAGGGGAATCATTAATTTTAGGGTGAAGACTTGGTTAGGGTTAGGCATGTGTTGGTTAGGGTTAAGGTTAGGATAAGTCTCCAGGAAATGCATGTAAGTCAATGTAATGTCCCCTGAAGTGATGTATACATGGTATGTGTGTGTGTGTGTGTGTGTGTGTGTGTGTGTGTGTGTGTGTGTGTGTGTGTGTGTGTGTGTGTTAACCCTGCGATGTGTGTCCCTGCAGCTGGATGCAGACATAGAGACCCTCACCCTGCAGCTGAGAGACTCTGAGCCCCGGCTGCAGCACGCTGCCCGAAACAACGGTAAACATGGAGTCAGACACCAGAGCAAACTTCATCTTGATGACTGATAGTCTAGTTCTGCGAACCTGGAAATATTGAGACCCCAAAGTCTTTTGATAGAAATGTACAACACATTCTCACTCCCAACTCGGCCTATGTTGACGTTATGTCAGGGTCCCTGTCGTCACTTTCCAACACAAGGGGGGGCCCTTTAGCATCGAGTTTCAACTATCAGGGAGTCCCATTGACTTGCATAGAGCTCCCTGAACGTTGGTAATAGACGAGTTGGGATCGCGGCGAAATGCTCTCCTCAGATCCATTCTCACAGCGTTTATCAACCTTTTTCTAACTCAATATCAAGCCACACTTATTGTGTTTACTTCTTTATTTTAATTGAATAATGTCGGACTTTTGTTGCCGTCAGTTAGGGGGAGAGTAGGGGCTCAGAAAACTGAACAAAATGTGCCGCTGAACCTTGACAAGTGCATGTTTCAGGCTTATCAATGAATAACAGGAGGGGTCACAGACATAAGACCAGCTGTTAAATAAAGCTCTTCTGACCTTAGCTGTCATGTGGGTATATATTAATGCTGCCCATTATGGACACAAGCCATTTTTACCCATTTATTAATTATATGTTTTAAATGTGAGTGTTTCCTATCCCCTAAACCTCCAGGGTGTACACAGTTTAATACTGGGAACTTCTTATTATGGGAAATACAAAAACGTCTTTTAAAACTACAATTCCCAGTAGAGACGTGCCATAGAACATGTTGCGAAACACACAATAGCCAGCATGTGTAGTTCTGGGGACGGGGTGGGGGAGGGGGGGACGGGGTGCGTTCAAATCCAGTTTTGGACAGTCTGCCGTGGTTCCATCCCATTTCAAAGTGCTGTTCGACGCTCGGCGTAACCCTCGGCGCACACTCAAACATCCAATCACAGAGCTTGAGGACTAATCACGGGGTTTGAGCAAAGCGGAGAGAATGCTTACTTCCGGGTGTAACATTCTCTAAAGCAACTACTATGAGCTGCTCCGACCCTCGGTCCTGACGGACTCCAAAAGTCCGACATTATACAATCAAACAAATAAATAAACACAAGGATAATTGTGTGTTATTGTTGAGTAAATAACAGCGTGTGGTTTAGAAAAGAATACAAAATTAGAAGGAAAAAACGATGAAACAATACAGATGTCAGTTTTCTGAGCCCCTACTCTCCCCCTAACTGACAGCAACAAAAGTCCTACATTATTCAATTAAAATAAAGAAGTAAACACAATAAGTGTGGCTTGATATTGAGTTAGAAAAAGGTTGATAAACGCTGTGAGAATGGATCTGAGGAGAGCATTTCTCCGTGATCCCAACTCGTCTATTACCAACGTTCAGGGAGCTCTATGCAAGTCAATGGGACTCCCTGATAGTTGAAACTCGACGCTAAAGGGCGCCCCCCCTTGCGTTGGAAGGTGACGACAGGGACCCTGACATAACGTCAACATAGGCCGAGTTGGGAGTGAGAATGTGTTGAAATGTATAGTAGGGGTTCCCCGCACAAATATCGTACTGGTCCCCGGCTTGAGCTTCAATCTCATGATCCATGTATTTCTGATCCTCTCCAGAATGGAAGTAGTCATCACATACAGAGCATCAACTAGTTCCTGAACAGTGTCCTTCACATGCTGATATCCAAGAGAGGGAGTTACACAGTCACAAGATGGAGGAATAGAAAGCAGTATTCAATGAAATGGAAACTGCTAGCCTTAAGGAATACATTTACACCCTTCAGACGATGCACTGCTACAGTTCTCCAGTGTTCCTTCATGATGGAAACTGTTCTCTCCAGTGATAATGACAGTTCTCCAGTGTTCCTTCATGATGGAAACTGTTCTCTCCTGTGATAATGACAGTTCTCCAGTGTTCCTTCCTGATGGAAACTGTTCTCTCCTGTGATAATGGCAGTTATCCAGTGTTCCTTCCTGATGGAAACTGTTCTCTCCTGTGATAATGACAGTTCTCCAGTGTTCCTTCCTGATGGAAACTGTTCTCTCCTGTGATAATGACAGTTCTCCAGTGTTCCTTCATGATGGAAACTGTTCTCTCCTGTGATAATGACAGTTCTCCAGTGTTCCTTCCTGATGGAAACTGTTCTCTCCTGTGATAATGACAGTTCTCCAGTGTTCCTTCATGATGGAAACTGTTCTCTCCTGAGATAATGACAGTTCTCCAGTGTTCCTTCATGATGGAAACTGTTCTCTCCAGTGATAATGACAGTTCTCCAGTGTTCCTTCATGATGGAAACTGTTCTCTCCTGTGATAATGACAGTTCTCCAGTGTTCCTTCCTGATGGAAACTGTTCTCTCCTGTGATAATGACAGTTCTCCAGTGTTCCTTCATGATGGAAACTGTTCTCTCCTGAGATAATGACAGTTCTCCAGTGTTCCTTCATGATGGAAACTGTTCTCTCCTGTGATAATGACAGTTCTCCAGTGTTCCTTCATGATGGAAACTGTTCTCTCCAGTGATAATGACAGTTCCCCAGTGTTCCTTCATGATGGAAACTGTTCTCTCCTGTGATAATGACAGTTCTCCAGTGTTCCTTCATGATGGAAACTGTTCTCTCCTGTGATAATGACAGTTCTCCAGTGTTCCTTCATGATGGAAACTGTTCTCTCCTGTGATAATGACAGTTCTCCAGTGTTCCTTCATGATGGAAACTGTTCTCTCCTGAGATAATGACAGTTCTCCAGTGTTCCTTCATGATGGAAACTGTTCTCTCCAGTGATAATGACAGTTCTCCAGTGTTCCTTCATGATGGAAACTGTTCTCTCCAGTGATAATGACAGTTTTCCAGTGTTCCTTCATGATGGAAACTGTTCTCTCCAGTGATAATGACAGTTCTCCAGTGTTCCTTCATGATGGAAACTGTTCTCTCCTGTGATAATGACAGTTCTCCAGTGTTCCTTCCTGATGGAAACTGTTCTCTCCTGTGATAATGACAGTTCTCCAGTGTTCCTTCCTGATGGAAACTGTTCTCTCCTGTGATAATGACAGTTCTCCAGTGTTCCTTCATGATGGAAACTGTTCTCTCCAGTGATAATGACAGTTCTCCAGTGTTCCTTCATGATGGAAACTGTTCTCTCCAGTGATAATGACAGTTCTCCAGTGTTCCTTCCTGATGGAAACTGTTCTCTCCAGTGATAATGACAGTTCTCTAGTGTTCCTTCCTGATGGAAACTGTTCTCTCCAGTGATAATGACAGTTCTCCAGTGTTCCTTCATGATGGAAACTGTTCTCTCCAGTGATAATGACAGTTCTCCAGTGTTCCTTCATGATGGAAACTGTTCTCTCCTGTGATAATGACAGTTCTCCAGTGTTCCTTCATGATGGAAACTGTTCTCTCCAGTGATAATGGCAGTTATCCAGTGTTCCTTCCTGATGGAAACTGTTCTCTCCTGTGATAATGGCAGTTCTCCAGTGTTCCTTCATGATGGAAACTGTTCTCTCCAGTGATAATGACAGTTCTCCAGTGTTCCTTCCTGATGGAAACTGTTCTCTCCAGTGATAATGACAGTTCTCCAGTGTTCCTTCCTGATGGAAACTGTTCTCTCCTGTGATAATGACAGTTCTCCAGTGTTCCTTCATGATGGAAACTGTTCTCTCCTGTGATAATGACAGTTCTCCAGTGTTCCTTCATGATGGAAACTGTTCTCTCCTGTGATAATGACAGTTCTCCAGTGTTCCTTCATGATGGAAACTGTTCTCTCCTGTGATAATGACAGTTCTCCAGTGTTCCTTCATGATGGAAACTGTTCTCTCCTGTGATAATGACAGTTCTCCAGTGTTCCTTCATGATGGAAACTGTTCTCTCCTGTGATAATGACAGTTCTCCAGTGTTCCTTCATGATGGAAACTGTTCTCTCCTGTGATAATGACAGTTCCCCAGTGTTCCTTCCTGATGGAAACTGTTCTCTCCAGTGATAAAGACAGTTCTCCAGTGTTCCTTCATGATGGAAACTGTTCTCTCCTGTGATAATGACAGTTCTCCAGTGTTCCTTCCTGATGGAAACTGTTCTCTCCTGTGATAATGACAGTTCTCCAGTGTTCCTTCATGATGGAAACTGTTCTCTCCTGTGATAATGACAGTTCTCCAGTGTTCCTTCATGATGGAAACTGTTCTCTCCAGTGATAATGACAGTTCTCCAGTGTTCCTTCCTGATGGAAACTGTTCTCTCCTATGATAATGACAGTTCTCCAGTGTTCCTTCCTGATGGAAACTGTTCTCTCCAGTGATAATGACAGTTCTCCAGTGTTCCTTCATGATGGAAACTGTTCTCTCCAGTGATAATGACAGTTCTCCAGTGTTCCTTCATGATGGAAACTGTTCTCTCCAGTGATAATGACAGTTCTCCAGTGTTCCTTCATGATGGAAACTGTTCTCTCCTGTGATAATGACAGTTCTCCAGTGTTCCTTCATGATGGAAACTGTTCTCTCCTGTGATAATGGCAGTTCTCTAGTGTTCCTTCATGATGGAAACTGTTCTCTCCAGTGATAATGACAGTTCTCCAGTGTTCCTTCCTGATGGAAACTGTTCTCTCCAGTGATAATGACAGTTCTCCAGTGTTCCTTCCTGATGGAAACTGTTCTCTCCAGTGATAATGACAGTTCTCCAGTGTTCCTTCATGATGGAAACTGTTCTCTCCTGTGATAATGACAGTTCCCCAGTGTTCCTTTATGATGGAAACTGTTCTCTCCTGTGATAATGACAGTTCTCCAGTGTTCCTTCATGATGGAAACTGTTCTCTCCTGTGATAATGACAGTTCTCCAGTGTTCCTTCCTGATGGAAACTGTTCTCTCCAGTGATAATGACAGTTCTCCAGTGTTCCTTCATGATGGAAACTGTTCTCTCCTGTGATAATGACAGTTCTCCAGTGTTCCTTCCTGATGGAAACTGTTCTCTCCTGTGATAATGACAGTTCTCCAGTGTTCCTTCATGATGGAAACTGTTCTCTCCTGTGATAATGACAGTTCCCCAGTGTTCCTTTATGATGGAAACTGTTCTCTCCTGTGATAATGACAGTTCTCCAGTGTTCCTTCATGATGGAAACTGTTCTCTCCTGTGATAATGACAGTTCCCCAGTGTTCCTTTATGATGGAAACTGTTCTCTCCAGTGATAATGACAGTTCTCCAGTGTTCCTTCATGATGGAAACTGTTCTCTCCTGTGATAATGACAGTTCTCCAGTGTTCCTTCATGATGGAAACTGTTCTCTCCTGTGATAATGACAGTTCTCCAGTGTTCCTTCATGATGGAAACTGTTCTCTCCAGTGATAATGACAGTTCTCCAGTGTTCCTTCATGATGGAAACTGTTCTCTCCAGTGATAATGACAGTTCTCCAGTGTTCCTTCCTGATGGAAACTGTTCTCTCCAGTGATAATGACAGTTCTCCAGTGTTCCTTCATGATGGAAACTGTTCTCTCCTGTGATAATGACAGTTCTCCAGTGTTCCTTCCTGATGGAAACTGTTCTCTCCTGTGATAATGACAGTTCTCCAGTGTTCCTTCATGATGGAAACTGTTCTCTCCTGTGATAATGACAGTTCCCCAGTGTTCCTTCATGATGGAAACTGTTCTCTCCTGTGATAATGACAGTTCTCCAGTGTTCCTTTATGATGGAAACTGTTCTCTCCTGTGATAATGACAGTTCTCCAGTGTTCCTTCATGATGGAAAACTGTTCTCTCCTGTGATAATGACAGTTCCCCAGTGTTCCTTTATGATGGAAACTGTTCTCTCCAGTGATAATGACAGTTCTCCAGTGTTCCTTCATGATGGAAACTGTTCTCTCCTGTGATAATGACAGTTCTCCAGTGTTCCTTCATGATGGAAACTGTTCTCTCCTGTGATAATGACAGTTCCCCAGTGTTCCTTCATGATGGAAACTGTTCTCTCCTGTGATAATGACAGTTCCCCAGTGTTCCTTCATGATGGAAACTGTTCTCTCCTGTGATAATGACAGTTCTCCAGTGTTCCTTTATGATGGAAACTGTTCTCTCCTGTGATAATGACAGTTCTCCAGTGTTCCTTCATGATGGAAACTGTTCTCTCCTGTGATAATGACAGTTCCCCAGTGTTCCTTTATGATGGAAACTGTTCTCTCCAGTGATAATGACAGTTCTCCAGTGTTCCTTCATGATGGAAACTGTTCTCTCCAGTGATAATGACAGTTCTCCAGTGTTCCTTCCTGATGGAAACTGTTCTCTCCTGTGATAATGACAGTTCTCCAGTGTTCCTTCCTGATGGAAACTGTTCTCTCCTGTGATAATGACAGTTCTCCAGTGTTCCTTCATGATGGAAACTGTTCTCTCCAGTGATAATGACAGTTCTCCAGTGTTCCTTCCTGATGGAAACTGTTCTCTCCAGTGATAATGACAGTTCTCCTCGGTGTGTTCCTCCGGCAGGTCGAGCCAGGTGTGTTCGCTGGACTCATGCAGCTCAGGTGTGCTCAGAGGACAGAAACTCGGGGGGGAAACCCTCGAGTCCCGACAGCATCAACTCCCCAGAACAGTGAGTGCAAAGAACATTCACTTCATAGCCTGGTGATGGAGGAAACACTCAGTCTACAATTACATACAATCAATATTAAGTCATTTTATTTTCAGGATAAAGGTTATTGCCAGGTACGTACACATTCAAGGAATACGCTTTGAGGTTGCAAACATGGAAAACAACTATTTACGATTTAAATTTAAATATACAAATGAACCTAAAAAACGCATGACAATAAATACATGAAATGATACGATAAACTACAGTGTGCTTACAGCTTACCTCCGGGTCGGCCTGCAAAAATAGGTCATCCCTGCACCATTCTATTCTGAATGGATGTTAGACACATATCCTTTGCAGATGTTTAGTATTTTAGTGTGATTTGTAGTTTTAACAGTTGTGTGGTGTCTCCTGTCAGCGTGCAGAGGCGTCTCTCCATTCAGCTGCCGATCCTCCATCTCTCCTACCTGCCGGGCGGCGTCAGCGCCAGCAGCTCCAGCACCTTCCAGCAGGACCACTTCCTGTTCCCCTGAAGACCACTTCCTGTTCTCCTGAAGACCCCTTCCTGTTCTCCTGATGCCACAGCATTGTTCGACCAATCAGGTGGCAGCTGGGACTGACTGCTCCTGTTTCTATTTTTATATTTATCATATATGGAAATGCATATAGTATTTTATATATAGGATTAAAAACAATGATACATTGAAAGGCTTTGTATTTTACTCCATCAAAGTGAGTCTGATTGATAAGTTGGTTTGTAATAAACAATGAAACAGAAGACAGACGTTTATGAAGGTGAAAACACATCAACATTTCAAAAACACACACAAAATGTTTTTAAGGCAAAAGAGAAAACATGACATTTCAGAAAATAATATAATATTTAAACACTAAAACAGCATTTTATTGTAGTTTCAGCTTCAAGGCCACTATAACAATGATTCCTGTTTAATGACCTGAGGAACAAATCCCCAGACAGACAACAAACAAACGGATGGACATTTTAAATCACGTGTGAAGTTGAGCTGCTCTCAGGATCAACATCTGGTCGATTCAGGGGATTTCTAGTATTATGAAATCCACGTCAACATGATCTTTGAGCCGCAGTCAGTCAACAAGCCGAGGCCGCAGCAGAACTCACCGCCAGAAATGTAAATGTGTCTTAAAAACTTTACATCAATTCATCCATTTAGTGCAAACTATTAAAAATGACTTACATAAAGTTGCATGTCGTCAGCATAAGGATTATGTGTGTACTTCTGAAGGAAAAGATAACACTACAAAAAGCAGTTGTAATTATAAAAATGAATCAAGAGTGTTGCTGTTATTTTTGGTTATCCATTCACTTTAGAGGCATGTACGTTCTCTCCAAGAATTGAAGGAAACAGGGCGAGAGTGACTGATATACTACGGAGGCCCTGAAGGGACATTGTTGGGCCAACGGGTTAGTTCTCATTAAAGTTACCAGTGCCCAAAGGAGGAAGTGGGCCACCATTTAATTGCAGACTGTTCTGTTAAAGTGTGGAAATGACAGGAAATACATTGAGTTATATTTCAAAGTCAGGGGTGTAGAGCTCTTTGTTTCAGAGCAGCAGGCCTTTTGCACACCGCCTTAATGTTTACTTTCCTTAGATCTGCTAAAGAGCGAGCTCAGGCTGCTACAGTTAACCACACACACACCTGTTCACACACCTCTACACACCTCTACACACACCTCTACACACACCTCTACACGCATATAGCATAGGTCTCAGATATATACAAATATATAAAAAAACATGTCTATGAAGTGTTTTGCTCAAAATACCAAACAGATCATGCATTCTAGCCATGCCTCATCCCCCTCTATTTCAGCCCTGGATCTGGATCAGCTCCGTTGTTCCCCCGTTTTTAGAGATGTGGGTACGGAGGAAAAGAGAGGGGGTTTTATTTCCTGACACTTTGTGAGTCTCCTGACACACCGGGGACACACCGGGGACACACCGGGGACACACCGGGGACACATGTTGATGTAGAAAAGACATAAAAAAGTGCATTTTGCATAATAGGAGACCTTTTAAGGATCTGCAGCTAACGTCTTGTTGCCTGATAACACAGACACTCAGAGGTAATGGAGTCCTTGCCTCCATGGGTCAGTGCTGTTTTGGAAAAGAGAGACGTACACGATATTAAGCAGGTGTTCATAATGTTAGAGCTGATCGGTGTATGTCCTTCACTTTGCACTAAACCTGCATGTACAGAATCCTCTCCAAGAAGAGTGGTGAAATCCTGGTTTTTACTGTCAGCAGTTTGGAAATAACTCGCCTCCATCCAAGTCAAATGTTGATGTTGGAGGAATATCAGCGGGACTTTCCAGAAAGCGTGATCAGAGCCGACAGGAGGAGAGGCAGGAGGAGAGGCAGGAGGAGAGGCAGGGGGAGAGGGAGGAGGAGAGGCAGGAGGAGAGGGAGGAGGAGAGGCAGGAGGGTATATAACCTCCTGAATGTGTCCTGAGATTATAATCCAACATGTCTTCCTGCATCACGCTCCTCTGCGCTCTGCTGCTGCTGCTGGGGCTTTCTGTGGAGGCTTCCTCTGGAGGGGGTGAGGTCTACTGTTACTACAAGATCTGAGTACTTATACTGTTACTACAAGATCTGAGTACTTCTACTGTTACTACAAGATCTGAGTACTTCTACTGTCACTACAAGATCTGAGTACTTCTACTGTTACTAGAAGATCTGAGTACTTCTACTGTTACTAGAAGATCTGAGTACTTCTACTGTTACTCTAGAGATCTGAGTACTTCTACTGTTACTACAATATCTGAGTACTTATACTGTTACTACAAGATCGGATTACTTCTACTGTTACTCTAGAGATCTGAGTACTTCTACTGTTACTCTAGAGATCTGAGTACTTCTACTGTTACTCTAGAGATCTGAGTACTTCTACTGTTACTCTAGAGATCTGAGTACTTCTACTGTTACTCTAGAGATCTGAGTACTTCTACTGTTACTCTAAGATCTGAGTACTTCTACTGTTACTCTACTACCAGATCTGAAATCTGAGTACATGTCATCTGAGTAGTTCTACTTTGAATCAAGTACAAGATCTGAGTACTTCTACTTTTACTCTAGTACCAGACCTGAGTACTTCTACTTTTACTCTAGTACCAGATCTGAGTACTTCTACTTTTACTCAAGAACAAGATCTGAGTACTTCTACCTGGATAAAGGTGTCTCTATTTTACTTGTATTTGACTTGCACTATTGTATCTGTGTTATTGTGTTGCTCTGTTGGAGGAGCCTGTGACCTCAGATCTTCATTGTCATATCTATACTAGAGATGGGCGAGTCCTGATTCATCCGGATCATTAACCCGGATCCTAGTAATGAGCTGGTCGTGACGAGTCTCCCCTCTCCATTAACCCGAGTCCTTTGAGTCCTACACCTGGTGACGTACACATTAAAACTATAAATTGCGTCACTCGCTGATCTCATTATAACATGTAAAATCACATGACAACGTACCCCAGTCCATCTGCCTAGGCTTTAGCAAGTAGGATAGCTGCCAGAAGTGATCGTTTGGCTCAGGGGACGCGGATCAGTGAAACTTCCTGCAGACTCGTGCAGACTCAGAGCCGTAACCGTAGCAGATCTAGAGATCCCGAGATCCAGAGATCCAGAGATCCAGAGATCCAGAGATCCAGAGATCCAGAGATCCAGGCAGACTCATCATGCACGAGTCAACAGGAGACTCAGATTCGCAAATCCTGACTCACTGAATCAAGGGAACTTCCTTCACTTCCTGCAGACTCGTGGGGACTCAGAGCCGTAACCGTATAGCAGATCCAGAGATCCAGACTCGTCATGCACGAGCATATCCGCGGGAAGTCATTTTACTTAGGGGGTGCGGCCAAAAGTGGGGAGAGATTTCAACAGTAACATGAAGTTTTTCAAATGTACACCATTCGCCAACAGGGGGTGTTGCAGCTACTTCCCGCGGCTATGTGCACGAGTCAACAGCAGACTCAGATTCGCAAATCCTGACTCACTGTGCAAAACACAGCAGACTCGTGCGGACTCAGAGCCGTAACCGTATAGCAGCAGATCCAGAGATCCTGAGATCCAGACTCGTCGTCATGCACGAGTCAACAGCAGACTCAGATTCGCAAAATCGCAAAATAACCCTTTTTGTTTGTGATCAACATTTTTTTATTAAAGCAAAAGACACCACTTTACACAAATATAACACATACAAACACCAGTACTGCAATGATTAAGCAGTCCATGAGAAAAGAGGGGGGGTGGGGGGGCATATGATTAGATCTACATGACTCATGACTCGAAGGACTCGTATGATCCGGATCTCTTCAATGACTGACTCAGAAGACCGTACAAGGACTCGGATTTGCCATCTCATATCTGCACTGTAGCTATATGTACACATGACAATAAAAGCCTTGAAACTTGAAACTCTAAAGAACGAGCTTTGTTTTAAAGATGAACACTGATGTGTTTCAGGCGGCAACGACACTCCCACAGCTACGACACTCTCGGGTCAGAGCTCCGGCGCATCTACAACTCCCCGGTGTTCATGGCGGAGCGTCTGAAGAGGCCCCTGGACGGACAGTCTGTGCGGATCGGGCCCCTCAGCCACTCTGGGAGTCAGGTCAGGAACCCCTTCTTCACACCCCTCATTACAGACAGCAGACTGGTTATTTAATCCAAGGGGAATCCACTCCTAACGAGTCGAGCTAGAGATGGAGATTATTAGCAGAGGTGACATTTTAAAATACATGTTAAATGAGCAACAACAACACATTTGAACCTTTTATGATATGGTGATGATAACCCCACCCCCCTGTTTTCAGTATTTATTTTTCATTTAAACGTACTTTAATTATGTTCTTTAATTTCTTTGATTTCTTTAATTTCTTTATTTAATTTCTTTATTTAATTTTATTTAATTTTATTTAATTTTATTTAATTTAATTTTTATTTTATTTTATTTATTTTATTTATTTTATTTATTTTATTTATTTTATTTATTTTATTTTATTTATTTTATTTATTTTATTTATTTTATTTATTTTATTTATTTTATTTATTTTATTTATTTTATTTATTACTTAACTTCATTTCATTTATAATGAACTGAACTTAACATAAGTGTTAGGGTTCATTTATGACTTTTTCTATTTTAATTTAATTACATTTAATGAATCTTAATTATTTTTCTCTTGCTGGCTGAGCTTGCCGCGCTGCGTGATGAATAATTAACATGAATGTATAATAATGGTCTCTCCTGTGTGTCTCAGAGTGACGCTGGCGGATGGCTCCCAGTGGCTCGTCCATAAGGGAGGAAACTACGGCGTCTCCTCCAACACCGTGGTGGTCGCCGCCCGGCACATGAGCCCCGCCTGGCAGGTACATTTTAGCCTTTGCAGACCATTTACATGCACTAACACTTATAGTATTTGTATTATCTTTTCAATTTACACACGGCATCTATTTCACGTCTGTCCTCCTGGAGAGGGATCCTCCTCTGTTGCTCCTCCAGGTTTCTGGAGTGTTTCCTTGTTCGATGTGAGGGTCAGAGGACAGAGGGGGTCGTACTGTCAGAGAGGGCAAAAGTACACACATCCTTTACTCAAGTAAAAGTACAGATACTCGTGTTTAAAAATACTCTGGTAAAAGTAGAAGTACTGACTAAACTTCTTAACTCAAGTAAAAGTAAAGAACTTTGAAATGTACTTCAGTAAAAAGTACCCATAACTAGCAGCTGTTTTAAAGAGTACCTGACCTCCCTTTATATTAATAGAACAATAATGTCATTGTTAGCTAATGAATGTTTCCATGCTGAACAACGGCAACATGACAACGTTTTCATTGGTCCCTCTTCTTTAGAGAAGACCAGGAAATGATGGATACACGGATCGTGTTCAAATCAATAGGCACGCAATGACTCTAAATAATAATGATCACGCCACCAAACACACATTCAAACTAAAGGAACCAGCCTGTTTGGAAAATGAGAGAAGTAGAAAGTACAGGTATTTGTGTTCAACATGTAAGAAGTAGAAAGTACAGGTATTTGGGTTCAACATGTAAGAAGTAGAAAGTACAGGTATTTGTGTTCAACATGTAAGAAGTAGAAAGTACAGGTATTTGTGTTCAACATGTAAGAAGTAGAAAGTACAGGTATTTGTGTTCAACATGTAAGAAGTCAAAGTAAAAAGTCGTCAAGAAAAACAAGTCGTGGAGTAAAGTACTGATACCAGAAGCATGTACTTAAGTACAGTAACAAAGTATTTGTACTCCACTATTTCCCACCTCTGCGTATTGTCGTATTGATATTCTGTACAAACTTTAAAGGGGACCTATCATGCAAAATGCACTTTTTGATGTATTTATACATAACTACGTGTCCCCGGTGTGTCAGGGAACTCACGCAGCGTCAGAAAATAAAACCCTCTCTTTTCCTCCGTACCCAAATCTCTAAAAACGGGGGAACAACGGAGCTGATCCAGATTTGCGTCCGATATGACGTAATATCTGAAATGTGGACCCACGGCCCTATCAGAAACGTTGCTATCAGAAACAATGCCCGACTGTGTTGGACGTAATATGGTCTGTGTTTACATTAGCATCGCTAACACTCAGAGCTAACCTGTACTGGAGAGCATGTGTGTGAAGAAGCAGGAAATAAAAAGGAACTCACCTTGTGGTATAACCGGCAAGAGAGAAAGCCTTTGAGCTCCATACTGTTTCAGAGATAATCCTTGATAATTCATGATATGGCGTTTCATCACGGCAGTATCTGCCGGTAGAATCTCCCGCATGAGCAGGCATAAGCTCCGCCCCTCTTTTTTATCATTTATTTTTTTAAAGCTTTATACCCAAAATCAGCACTTTTGAAACAGGAAGTGAAATAGAGGGATATGAGGCATGGCTAGAATGATCTGTTTGGTAGTATCAGCAAAACACTTCATAGACATGTTTTTTATATATTTTTATATATCTGAGACCTATGCTATTGCCTAAACATAGCATGATAGGTGACCTTTACTGAGACAGATGTAACATTTGTGATATTGGGCTATATCAATAAACATTGATTGATTGACTGACTGATTGATTGATTGATTGATTGATTGATTGATTGAATACAGGACGGGAACACAATATGGCCTCTTTAAGTATTTGCCTGTTTTTCCAGGTCGTTCGGACGCTGGATTTCCGGGGGACGAAGAAAGTCGCTGACTTCGTGGCGGGTCGGCGGCACCGACTACAGCCTCTTCTTCGATAACTGTCACCTGGCATCTCGGAGGATGATGGGACAGTAATAAAGAGATCCATAATTTGTCACCCTGCCCTTGACTTCCATTATTTTATTTCACACCCACCTTGTTCTCATTTCTGCTTTGCTCTCGGCTCTTTAACGAGTGTTTTAAATGAACGGGTCTTTTGTGGCGATGCTTTTAGTGTTTGGTGTAAAGCTCTTTCAAGTTGCTGATACACACTTTAATAAACACGCCTCTGATGAACGGATAATTAAAGGGAGACTCCAAAAAGTTCTCATGTGATTGTTTTTCCACCAGGGGGCGACGTGTACTGCTAGATTTCAGAGTGCTGCTGCAAAGACTTTATGATCTAGAAGAAACTGGAGATGAATAGAGGCACTTCAGAATACTCTATCCCAAGAACATGTGGGTTTCATATTCATACAAACATATGAAATAAAAATAATAATGCCAATTGAAAAGATAAAAGAAAAATGTGCATTAAAAAGATCCAATAAAATCAAAAAATGTGTTTAAACATAAAAAATACAAATATAATTGTGCATTAAAAAGAGAAAATAAAAGTACAAATATTCATTTAAACAAATATACTTAGAAATTAAAGTAATGTGCATTAGGAAGATGAAATAGAATATTCGAACAAGTTTTTGAGACTCTTTGAAACTGCATTTCTTTGTAATCTGTGCAGTGACGTGTTCCTGATCTCTGCGGGAAACAACAGACAGTCTGTCCTGCAGAGACGTCAGAGTGTGTGATGAGTGTGTGATGAGTGTGTGATGAGTGTGTGATGTGTGATGAGTGTGATGAGTGTGATGAGTGTGATGAGTGTGATGAGTGTGTGTTGAGTGTGTGATGAGTGTGCGTGTGTGAGTGTGTGTG